TTTTCGGAAAGTTGTTCGAAGCTTGTTATATGACCAAAGCACTTGATGCACAGACATTGTTCCAAGAAATTCTTGAACCGATGAGGGAAATTTTCTCTCTTCAATATATTCTTGTGAGACAGAAAGAAGTTTGATATTCTTCACCTTGTCTTGAATAAGCTCAAAAAAGTCTTCCATTGTGCCAATATCATTACCAAACCGTACAATTTGCTCTGCGGTTCTCTTTAGGACAGCACCGATACCATCGGGCGCTCCTTTGCCGTGTCCAGCCTCTAAATAGTTCCAGGTCACAAATTTTAACTATGAAAAATCCTGTTGCAGTTGGCTAATAACAAAGATAATGTAGCGATTCCTATATTGGCTAGAAGGACTGTCAGATACAAAATGTACTGTATCAATCAGAGGTGATATTTCTGTTACGTAGGCTAGTAGCGGTATGAGATGTGCCCATATAGCACTGGCGTCATGTCTGTTGCATTTGCTGACACTGCAAACGCTGTATGTCTTCGTGATTCCAGTTTTTGGATCAATTAAATAAGCTACCGCAGTGTGCAATGTTATTTGCAATCGACTACCGCCGAAATGATAGCCTCATTAAACTTGACGGAGTAATTTTCTGAAAAATCTATGTGTAGCATAGCAAATGATTAATTTTATAACTTATTTATTAGACTTTTTTCAAAACTGACAGGCAGCATCTAAATAACTTCTTTAAATATTGAATGCATGTCAACAATGTCAAACTTTTCATTAAAAACGCTGTTTAATACCCAAGACAATAGGAAACGTTGTGAAAAGACATTTAATATATAAACGAAACTCTTTCTTGAAATGGTATGGTTTCAAGAAAGAGGTATCTAAAAAGTGGTCTAAATAAGTAGTTATTAAAATAACAGATGACTTTAAGGCCTTGAAATGCCATTAGTTACTTCAATCATCTTTGTAAGTAGCGATTTCAAAAGTGCAATCAATTCTATATGTCATATTTATGGGACTACAGATAATATCAAATATAAATAAACATAAAATTCATTACCCTCATTTTTAAGTTCATTACCGTCACCTTCATAGCTGAAGGAAATTGATGGTAATGAAAGTGAGGGTAATGAATTTTTTAAACTGTTTTTGATCTTGCTCGGTAATTAATAGATTTACGTACTTAATAATAATAAGAAATATGAATATACAAATAACAAATGCTTCCAGACCAAAAGCATAAAAAAACTATTACTACTTACATGAACAATCCGCTGTAGGTAATGAAATCAAAACTGGTTGAAGCACGTACTTGCCGATCTTTTTTAGCAGTAGCGTCAAAATTTACACACGCCCTGCCCCGTTCGTCATTGCTGGCCGACGGGCTGGCAAGTGAACGGTGGGAGGTAGATGTGCCATCCAGGTACGATGCATATACAGTATGATTTTTGATATTTCAAACTAGGCTGAAGGTAATGGAATATTTTTTCGGACAAATTGTTTTTATCACAGTTTGTCTAAATATTAACATTATTACAACGTGTGCTTCATTGTTTAAATTCCTTATTCTATACTTGAGGTACTTCAAGTAATAAGAAGCAACAAAAACCTCGATGTATAATTAATAAAAAATGTTTTTCTAACTCGTCACAAAAAGGACGCTGAAGGTAATGAAATTTAAGCAACTAAAATATTATTTTCAGTTAGTAATTCGGCACGATTAACTTTAATTCTATATGGCAGAAATAGATAAACAACCTATTTATAAATTAAAAATATTTTTAGGCTTTTAGAGTGATAAGATTTGCCAAAAAATTCACGGACATGCGATTTGCACGAAATCATAGAAATACCCAGGTACTGAGTCGTGTAGCGCGTGTCGAGAACGTCAAACAAGCGTTAATGCCATCTCGCTTACTATAATACGTAGAGAGAAATCCTCCTTGTCACAACTCACCTCTGTCACAACTCACCTAGGTCTCCCCTATTTCACCTTCAAGTGTCATGTTAAGTTATGAGACGACAATTTTGAAAGCATAATTATTAGCTTCCGTGGAAGACTAATGAATTATAATAAAGGATCATATTTTTTCTTCTTATTTTTAATTATTGGCTTTGGATTTCGCCAAAAGGATTGTATGTATTAAGTACGTACAGTATTAAGGCACCTAATAATACCTACAATATGTTCTTTGTAATTATAAATTTCACATTTTCTATATAAAAATATTGTAATTTAGCAACCATAATCCCTAATTTAAAAACAATTTCCTAGGGTAAGATATGTTAATCCAGATTATGCAAGATCATAATCCGTTTGTGTAGGTAGGCTGCGATTGGATAACAAGGAAAATAACTAATATTAATGAGCAACTATTTAAAAAAAACATTAGTTCCCGAAATCAAACTAGATGTCGCTACGATATGTTCTTGATTTCACCATGACAACTTCCTTATAAAAATACTTTGGACTTAAGCTTAGAACTGGCAAAATTTCCCGATGTGCGCCGACAGTTTCGTATTATTAATAGGGATTAAATTATAATATTGCCGATTTGTACTGAAAAATCAAAAATGTTTAATTTTTAACAAATTTATTTAATCAAAATAGTTACCATTATTATCTATACATTGCTGTTATCTAATAGGAAGGTCATTTATGTCTTTAGCATAGAACTCTCAGGATCTAGACTGCACAAACTGTGGGAAAGCATTTTGTACTGCCTCTTAAGAAGACAACTTCTTGTCACATAGATAATTGTCCAAATCAGGAAAAAATGGTAGTCCGTTGGAACAAGGTCTGGCTAATACGGAGGATAACGAATGGTTTCTAACTGCATAAAGAATCCACGTTTCATCACATGTCACAATCCTATCCAATATTCCTTCATTTCTGTACCGATTCAACAAGGCAACACAGTTTCAACCCGCGTTTCTTTCTGCAGATCAGTCAAATCATGAGGCACCCATTTTTGGTATCTTTTTATTTTATTGATTTGACGCAAATGAGTCAATATTTTGGGTAAGGTAACTTTAAACCATGCCGCTTATTCCTGGGTAGTTTGACTAGGATCGGCTTCCACCATCTCGCTTAATTCATCGTTATTCACCTGTGTGGGCGGTCTTTCTCGTCGAAGTTCAAGAAAGCAGAGCAAAAGAAGCTCGTTCAAGTCGAAGTTTCCATCACGAAAGCATTTTAACCATAATCGCACGATGCGTTCATTAGCAGACCCCTCTCCAAACGCAACATTGATATTGCGGCCTAGTTCCGCGTCGGAACTCGTATTCAAAAATCACTTGAATTTTTGCAGTAGATACCCATCTTTCTTGTCTAAGTCGAATAACAAAAACAATTGAATGTCGATATTCAAATGTTTCACATTTTTCAAAAGAAGAACATCATAGAAATGTGAAAAAAAAAATTCTTTCTAAAACCTCAAACCATGACGATTCTATGTCAATTCAAGGAACCTAATGCAATAAAACGGCAATTTCATACTTTGACACCTAATATTAAACTTCAAAAATAACTTTCTCTCGCTTTTTATTTAATTTTCACACACTTTCTGAACTTGTTCTTTTTATTTTAGTCCTGTAGTTTCGGATATGAAAGGGAATTTTCATAAATAACTTTAGGACAATATATATACAATTATTATATAGTTTGCAAAACTATTTTTATCTAATTTACACCTAAAAGTTTTCCCCGTTTAGAAATACATACATTTTTAGGTCAGCTTTCCATATTACCTATCAAACAACGCAATCAGTAGTTTGGAAGCAAAATAACTCTGACAGTCGGACAGACGAGCTGACAAGGCACACATGTGATTATTAAGGTTTCTCGTTTGAGGAACGATTTTAGAAAAAGAATAAGATTTTTCACAATTGTTTCTTTTTACTGAATAATTTATCATGCGAAATAGTCGTCTCATGAAAGACTTACAAATTCTATATTTAGAACATGAAAATAATAAATTGATTGTTAACTGTTTTTAGTATAAACCGTTCAATTTGTTCAGACAATAGACGAGCAGTAGACGTGTTTGAAAATTCTCTAAAACAATATTATCCACCGTGGCAACTAAATTATAAATAGAAATTGTTCGAAAAAAATGGAAGAACTAATAGCATTACATTTATTTCTAAGAAAACAACTGCTATTACAATAAATCGATAAAACTTTAAAAGCCGGTCTCCTAGAAACGTGTAAAACAGATCGCTAAGGACAGTAGTCGCTATTAGTAGCAAAAGAATATGGATATGTAACATTTTAGATGTATTATATATATATTGATTACATTGGAATCGGTTACAATGGCGACTCATTCCGGAACTACTCAAGAGTCGTCGTCAGGCGAAAAAACTGATGCGAAAGCTTCACATTCAAGAATATGTTTCGACCCTCGTTGGTCTAGCAGGTAACACGAAGAAATAATCATAAATATGTAACAAGTATCTTATACATTTAATAATATTTACAATATAAATGCTAATAAAATTATTTTTATAATCGCCGTTTGGCAGGGTTAAATCTAAATGTAGTCTAGTTGAACAACAGAATTGCTCTCAAATACCACATTCTTAATGCTATATTGAATTTTTGTAATCGTAAATGTAAATATTTAGGTTAATTCAATAAATGTTTATTTTACCACCAAGAAGTAGTTTTATGTATCAACTAATTAAGAATAAAAACAACTTTTGAAAAGCGAACGTAATCTAAAGATTTTATTATAGGTATTTTTAAAGTTTCATTTTCTTTACAAGCAACGTGGTCCGGCTTTTAAACTTTTAAACCGTTCTTTCTGCTTTATTAAATAAGCGATAATACCTACCTGTAAGTAATAGTTATCCACATTATATAAAATCAATAAATGAAAAAAAAATATTAAGAACGATCCGTTCCCGCGACTTCACTATAGCCTTTATCACCTGCGTATGTGATATAGCTTTCCGTAGGGGAAAGTATAGAAAAAAGTCTGGTTTCTAAAGAATATTCTAAATTATTGTCTGTTTTTCAGTTTATCACCGGTAAAAGAGGAAAAGATGAAACCTGGCCAGGACAAGGGTATCTTCTTGGTAAATATGAAAGAGAAGAATGCTCAAGAGGAGGAGTACGAGCCATATGACAACAGGGTGGTGGAACACCCCACTACGTATGTATATAATCTTTATGACTAGGGCAAATAAATAGCGCAAGCGTGTGGGCATTAAGACTTGTTACATACTTTTTTACATCAAGGAAATGCAGTAGGTTCTACTCCTGCCGCATGACAAGCGACAGGGGGTGTGTGGAACTCTCCTTCACGAACCCACCATGTGGCTAGCCGCGCTATAGGTTCCCGGAGGCCTTCCCGCAAATACCTCTACGGTGTACCCTCCCCTAGGAATAACTCTAGGAATTAGGAATGAGTAAAATTAAAAAATGATATACAAATAATGATGAAATTTTCTGTCTTTTTTCCTCTGTGTCCCATTACACTCACTCGAAACTTAATAGGTTCAAATAATTTTTCTAGTTATTGACTGGTAACTATTTATTTAAAAGGATCTTTTAGTCGTAAAATATCAAAGCAAGATATTAGATACACATTGTGATTGATATACATACATTGAGTTATAACCAGCACCGTTTATATCCTGTATCAACAGACCTATCCTACCCTACCCTACCTACCTACTTAGATAGATACAAGGTTTTTCTTATAGCATGTCCTAATTATCAGTTGTCATACTATTAGAATTATTCAAGACATGATACAAATATATAATTACGTATTTAAAATAAAATCCAACCGGCATCATCGCCATTTCTCTGTTACCGAACGGAAAAGAAGTGATTCTACCGCGTAACTGAAGACCTGATTTATAACCTAAAATGAAGGCTATCGGCTATGGGGCTGGCAGATTAACTATCAGCACATCAATCAGGATTGATATGTCCAATACTAGACTATTTATGATAGGGCTGCTGAGATGATCTGTCACCCTGACAGAAAGTACAGATCTTCATTTTGATAGATCAATTAGAGCATTATTACAAGGTAGGTCTGAAGCATGACGAATTGATACACTAAAATGTTTCGAGAGTGAGGTATTATATGAGCGCACCACCCTAGAAGTGACATTTGAGTGGAGAAAAAACGTTTCTCGATTTCTTCGTGCTAACAGTACTGGCTAATAAATATTTTTTGTAATATTATTGAATTTTTGCTTGTAACAGGAACACTGAGACACTCCTACATCTGCTGAAAGGGAGTTTAGGAACGGGTATACTGGCAATGCCTCATGCGTTCCACAACTCTGGTTACGTGGTGGGCGCCATCGGAACGATAGTGATCGGAGTGCTGTGCACATACTGCATCCACATCCTCATAGACTCGTGCTACGTGCTGTGCAAACGGCGGAAAGTACCGTCGCTCACCTATACCGCTGCTGCTGAAGCGGCGTTATCTGAAGGTCCTGATTGGTGCAAAGCTTGCGCCCCGTATGCTGCGTAAGTACATACATTACCTATTCAAAATGATATCATTGATTGTTGTTGATTTTCAGTAGATGACGTTTACGTGCTGTATGCTATTGGTGTTTTCTTTGCCAATAATAAAAACAAAATCGCGGATTACCATGGGTGTATGTAAGTAGGTATATGTCAATACATATAGCTACTTAAAGCAGTCAGGGTCCCGGACCTCTAATAGGTATAATTATAATCTGTCCGGTAGTTTCGGAGCATATTCGATGCAAACAAACGAACAATGTTATCTTTCATAATATTAGTATAGATAAAGTAAACTTTTATTCCAGGCATATAGTGAACGCTTTCCTTCTAATTTACCAAATCGGGACTTGCTGTGTGTACGTGGTGTTTGTATCTGAAAACATCCATTACGTATTAACAAAGCAATTTGGACTACAAGTAGAGGTAAGTAAAGTAAAATAATGAACTATTTTGTAAGTGAATTAAATATAATTATGAGCACTTCAAACAATGTCCAAATCACTCACAAGACACAAAACACATACCTTTCATATTTCTCTGCAAAAAGTCAAAACTTTACTATTTTGCTGTAACTTTAGATGATGTTTCATTTCGCTGAAGGTATCCTAAACCTAGGTTGGAATTTTGAATTAGAAGTTTTAATAGTTCGTCAATTAATACTAGTATAATATCTGTGATATTATAATTTATCTGTGATATTATACTAGTATTAATTGAAAAACATATCAACGAACACGACAATATTATTTTCTCTTATCGCTACTAACAAATCGATCGGCATTACAAATAAGTTTTAAACAAATGAAAATTTAACAGGTGATCCAGGTGATGGCATGTATTCTCCTACCACTGGTGTTAATCAATTGGGTGCGTGACCTCAAGTACCTGGCTCCGTTCTCGGCGGTTGCTAATGCGGTCACTATAGTGAGCTTCGGAATAATCCTTTATTATATATTCCGCGAGACACCAACCTTGGAAGGGAAGGAACCAGTGGGAAAATTAAGCAATTTTCCGCTATTCTTCGGGACCGTCTTGTTCGCTTTGGAAGCTATTGGCGTGGTAAGATTTTTTTGTTTTTTTCAAGCCAAATAATTGATAAGCTTATAAAGTATAATTATAATTATTTTAAATACCAAAACAGAGTTACTAAAAATGACATAATTACCTTCACATTTACATAATTACTCTTTGATTATTTCTATATAAATAAAAACTCGGTGAACTGGTTTTGGTGCAATTTCTGTTAGCATTTCTATCAAATAAAAAAGTACGTCATAACATGTTCATAAACTACGAATTCACGGTCAAATACAACTTAAGAAATTAAATTTGTTCTTTCTAAAATGATGTGTTCTTGAAAATGTCTTTTTTTGCCAGATATTACCATTGGAAAACGAGATGAAAACCCCCAAAGACTTTGTGGGGAAATTTGGCGTGTTGAACCGAGCAATGATTAGCATTATCATTCTATATGTGGGCATGGGACTGTTTGGCTATCTTCAATACGGAGCTGCTGCGAAAGGCAGCATCACCTTGAACCTACCCTCCGATAAAGAAGTGTAAGTATTTTCTCCGAAATACCCGAAAATTACATCAAGAGTGTAAGTCGATGAACTTTTCAGACTTGTTTGCTAAGTTTCCAAGACTAGTAGCCAATATTCAGTAGTAACTCGGAGCAATTATAAGAAATAAGGGACAGGGAATTAATTATGGTAAAAATGAAAAATTGTAATTAAGGTGTCACCCTCATAAGGTGACAAAGTTGCATTTTTGTGGAAGAAACTAAACTTTATTTTTTGTCCCCAGATTGGCTAGCGTGGTTCAGTGCCTGCTTGCTTTTGCTATCTTCATCACTCATGGTCTCGCATGCTACGTAGCAATCGACATTCTGTGGAATGAGTACATCGGCGTGCGCATGCTTAATAACAAGCATCGCCTGGTATGGGAGTATGTTGTGAGGACTGTTATAGTATTTCTTACATGTAAGTAGATTTATTATTATACCGTCCTTAATAGTTTTAATAAGAATCATTTAAATAAATTACTATTATGCGGATTTGTTTAAGTTATCTAAGGCAATTTTGTTTTTAATATTTTATAAAACAATTGTTTTTCATATTTATTTAACTCATTTAATTAGTTTAAGTAAAATGTTTAATATATATAAAAATATATACTCATTTCTTTCCAGTCGGCATCGCGGCGGCTGTTCCAGAATTGGATCTGTTCATTTCTTTGTTTGGAGCGCTATGCTTATCTGCTCTGGGATTGGCTTTCCCCGCCTTCATTCAGAGTTGCACCTACTGGTACTACGTGTCCGACTCCGAACGCATCCGTATGATCATCAAAAACGCCATCGTAGTCCTCTTCGGTATACTAGGCCTCATAGTCGGCACCTGGACCTCTCTGGAAGGGATCATCCACAAATTCTCAGGCAACGACTCGCACTCGGTAACTCTGAACGAAACAGACGCTTTTAATGTCACATCCTCTTTCAACTCCACCTCCCCTTGAACGCCTCAACACTCGAGGCTTGAATAACTCTCAGTCCGAGCCTACCGTTCCAAGAACGTTGACTGTACCATCGTGTTATTATTTATCTAACTACGCTTAACTTATTATCAGCGTAAACTAGTAACCGATGTCGAGCGATTAGGTACGCGTATTGTTTTTTTTTTTGGAATTATTTTGTTATTTTATAATTAAGTTTATATTGATAAGCTTTTTCCATGGAACAGCTACAATAATGTTGAATGCATACTTTATATGAATACGAGTGTTGACTGTTATTATTATTAGACAGCTATTATGTTTTGATAAATTCTATTTAGATCGGGCAATTCTATTTCAAGTAAGACTTTTTGGGCTCACTTGCAACAACACAAAATTGAGCGTGAGCAACTTATCCTAATTCGAGAAATATATTGTCTAACATTTGTGTCTATAGACAAGGCACTTACTTGAGTATAAGTAATAACTCTAGCTAATATTTTCAACCAATCGACGAAAGTATGAAAAAAGTAAGAACTGTCAATAGTTAACAATCATAGTATTCTAACTTTTGAGAGATCTTCATGCAAATTTTTGTTTATTTGTTTGCTTAAGTTATTGCTTTTACTCAATTAATTACTTCTACTCTACTATAGATATAAATGTTAGTATTAAGTATTTAATTAGCTCCGTCGAATATTCTAAATTATTGACTTGTTTGTTATTTGTAAGCTATTATTATTATAATCAATTGACTTTATAAAATATGGTACATAGTGCATGTTGTGATTAAAAAATACAATTAATATTAGATTATGACGTTATCAATGAAGGTCTGAACTCAGTTCCGTGGTTTATCATTAATATCTTAAAAAGATGTCAAATAATTGTATGTAAGCAAATGAAAATGTTATACATGTAGCGATATTGGACCTATCAAGTAAAATCTTAAGTCTCCATCGATTGTAGCGAATGAAATGGTTGTTCCTACTGTTTTACAATCCATAAAAATTAAAAAGACGATTAGTTTTTGGTGTATTATATTATAACACTATCGTACGTCAGTGAGATTCTACGTCAAACGAAGCTTAGCATTTTGATAGAGTAAGGTATAATTATAAGTATAGTGTAATAACTCTTGTAGCATAATATTATAGTGAAATTCCCGACTAATTGCCATCTTTATATATATATATATATTGTATAATGTGATAAGTAAGGTGATTACGCTGTCTAGTTTTCAAGACCGGACGTAAAATAGTTTCATAGTTTATATTACACAGATACAAATCGATGTGCCAATTATAGTATCTAAAGCTCCTTTGTTAGACGAACGAGTAGTACAAAATATTATTTTCATGTAATGTATCCGGTCTTCAGTTATTTTTTTTTTTTTATATACAATCTGTGATGTTGTTAGTTGTATAGTATTTAATTTTAATAGGACTTGTATTTTGTTTAACTGTGTTACTATATGAGGTGTGTTTCACACGTCAGTGATAATATGCTCAGAGCGACGTATTCAGGGGTCGAATCCCGTATTATTTATAATAATAAAAAAGTTATATTATATAATTATAAATAAATTGTTTTATTGATTTCTTGCTCTTTAGCTGTGTCAATCAACACGGCAGCACCTTTCTTTCGATCTTATTTATTTCTGAAACTACTACTATCCTTGTTTTACAATTACAATTTGTCTATATTTAGTCAAGCATTCATGTTCAAGTGGTGACACATACCACGATTTGTGTAAATGTAATAACGTTTAAGTATTAAATTAAAAATATAAATCTCTTTAATTCTGAAATATTTAGTCTTACTAATTTGAGATCCATTTGCCGCCCTAACCAACAGCCTACTCAACCTAATTAAATTGGCAACTATTTCGCCCTGATCTCCTCTTTCCTAATAAAAGAAAAGTACCTCTGAATAACGCGCGAACCAGGAGTTTTTCGTTATAAATTAATTTAAATCAATAATGTTCTTAGTAAAATATATGTTATCCATTTTTGAAGCATACGCATATTCCTCTGAGTTCTTAATAATATATGATGAAGTAGGTAAATGATATACAAATTACACATAGAAATAACAACTATATTTACTTTAATTAAAAATATATAATTGAATAATGCATGATTAAAAATATGTCGGAAATTTTCAAAATATCAATACAGCACATCTAGAGAATGCTATCCCGTGAGAAAAATTTTTGTATTTGTACTAGACTGTTATTTACGAAATCCCGCATAGAAAACGTTCCAGTTAGGTAACGTTTACTTCATTTTGACACATGATAGCTTTCTCATTTTTAATTAAATATATAATCGAACAGTGATTTGGTTTATGAGTCACTATACACTTTTAGACCACTTGACTTAAAATGGTCCATTTTCAACCTGGTCAAAACCGATATTTTAATAAAATCTAGATCTACATTGTGATTTATTTCAATGCCGCGATTCCCGCAGAAACCCGTTTAGTTTCCGAGCTGTACTAGTGCAACCATTACGTACGATCCCGATTTTTCATTCTCTAGACCAGTGGTCCATAACCTGTGGTCCGCGGAGCCGTGGCGGTCGTTAGAAGCATCCCAAGTGGTACGCGACGGAGAGATTCTATTATAAATACATAAAACAACTCTTTATCATTTAGGTACTGCACAATAAACCAAGTGAGTGTTCCATGGCCAAATTGAAATTTATAAAATGGTCCCTAGCACCCGAAAGGTTAAAAACCACTGCCTAGAGAGAGAATTGCATAATACAAATAGAATTATTAGCAAACATTCAATTCGATTTAACACTAACACACATTAAAATACTGTTAAACTTAAAATTAAACACTTTTAAATCAATAACACGTTATTTGCATTTACAGTCAGTGAATGAGCAAAACAATTAAAATACTAAGTTAGAAACAAAAGTCATTTGTACTATGTCGAATACATACACGAAAATATTAAACTTTAAAAAATCTGGGTCTAACTCTCTCATCCCAAGAGACAATGAAAGATCAAAACTATACTACACTTCACACAAAGTATTAAGAAATTCATAAAAACAAAACATTAATATTCAAAGTAACTATACTCAGTGGAGAATTTTTTTACAAACTAAGCGATCACCAATATTATTCAAATATTGCTCAACGGTTTAACAAAATCAAACCAACTTTTTCACACTAACAGAAAAGATTTACATCTATTGTGGTTCACATGTTGTGAAAACAAATCTCTTTATATCGCAAACTTCATCATGTCGTCCCATTCAACTGCATTTAAACACGTAAATTAGAGCGGGATACGTGATTAATCAGCCCTCATGCAGGCTTACTCTTGAAAGCAATCTCAATGTCAATTGCAATCCAATCCAATGACGTTCTCAATTTTCATGCAATCTCGTGCTCTTGAAACATATCTATGTTACATAAGTTAGTATCTACTTACTCAACATCAATTAGTTCATTCAATAACAACGCAATATTGAGCCAATTGGCGCTAGTGTACCAAATCAAGAGAAAGAAACGTCACAATTGAAATGTCGATTGATCGCGATTGCGTTCAAGAGTAAGCATGCCAGATATATCCATTGACGATTTTGAGAGTGCAAGTTGTCTGCTCTTACCTTTATAAATTGTAATTTAAATAAACAAAAAATATTCACCCGCATTAAAAAAATATTGCTCAAAAAGCTCATATTAACCCCGATGCTGGATATCATTACACCATCCAATACATAGACATGATATAGACCTTAACATAAAGCTCCTACTCACTTCATTTTCATACTAAAGTTAATTTATAAATAATGTTCTTTGTTCTGATAAAGCTGTCAGATTTTCAAGTTCAAACAAAGGGAAAAGGAACAAGAACTACCACAAAAGGAATTTTAATTCAAGCAACATCTCTTACCAGTCTGCTCCCACATAATTTAACAAAACAAATAAACTTTTCCCGAAATAAATTATTATAGACTCAATGACTTAGTTAAATAATCTTAATGAGCATTAAATAGGTATGCAGCAAATCATTGAATATATAATGTCAATTTTTATTCCAAATTTGTCGAAGTATTTAATGTCGAATGACATTCCGAATACATACCGCCGTCATTGTTCAATTAGCTCAATGATGTAAAACGCTACTTCAACTTATTCAATTTTAATCAATTTATTGGAAGAATTAATAAAATCAAATATATTGTTTACATTGATTTTATTAACTTATATTGGGACAGACTACTATAAATTAACCATACAGGTAAGTACCATTTCTTTGTATACTTGTCGACATTCTTATCTTAAATACATATAGATTATTACAAAACTGTTATAGACTCGTGCCTGCTACAGAGGTAGGTAACGTTTAAGAATAATATTTACGATGCACTAATTATTACCCACACATTTAATTGTTGTGGAACTGAAGCAACTTTGGTCGAAGCACATAATATAATACTACGTTGAGGCAATTGATAATGCAGCGAATATCAAGTTAATGACCATTACACGTTAACGTTAAAATAAAGCTTTAAGAAATACCATTTGTTGTAAATCTTATTTTATTGAAATGTTATGGTTGCCTGTGACCATATACAGAGTTATTTGTAAATTACCAACATACTCTCAGGACTAGATAGCTAACAAGATAAATAAAAATCGACCAAGTGTGAATCTGACTCGCGCACGAAGGGTTCCATGCCATTTTCAATAACAACGCAATAAAATCGCGTTTGTCATATGGGAGCGCCCTTAAATATTAAATGTTACTTATTTTGCCCTGCAAGGGTGCTGGTACTTAACAAATAGCCCTGTATGACTGTAGATAACCTTTGAATTGATAATTAACAATGAACTTTATTACAGTTCAGTAAAAGTTATATTTTTTTGCAAAATATTATGTACATGCGCAGTGACTTTTACATGTGATAAAATAATCATAAACAACTAGATAATCTTGTAAGTTACCAAAACACGAACTTTAAAATCACTACGTCTGCAAAATATGCAATAACATTCTTATAATAAAATTAGTTCTAACAAAAGGTAACATTGCCGACTCCTTAATAATCTAGAACTTAGTTAAATAGTTTATAGAGAATGACAAAAAAGAACACTATTTTCTACAATTATAAAAAGAATATATAGTATAAATTGAATAAATAAAAATGTATTATCGCTATGCATTGAGAAATTGAAATAACCTGTACAGCTTATTTTTTTTTTGTTTAAAATAATTGATTGCTAATTGCAGGTGGATTAAGACCTGAAATTGAGTGAACATATCTTTAGGATAAAATATGAGGAAAAATTATGTTCTATTATAAAAGTACTGTTAGTGTATATGTGTAAAAGTAACAGGTATACTTTTAAATTCAATATATGTAAAATGATGTTATTATAATTTACTTTTGTTGTGATCCTACTAATAATAAACTAAACTGGACTTTGGTCCATAAAACACGTTCTCGACGAAATGGATGTTAAAATTATATCACATAAAAAATTCATAAATATGTTATTAACAAAATGTATTTCATTGTTGAGAAAATACATATTTATGACTATAAGGAATATACAAGAATTTTGACAAAATAATCTTAAATACTTACATTATGTATTTCTGTACAAATAGGTAAATGGAATGTCATTAAATTGTGTGAAGGTTAAAATGTTACATTTGCAGATATTGGGATTAAATATTTTCATTAATTTTAATACTTCGTTTTATTATCCAAGCGATTGCCATTTTGTATGAAAATCTAAGAAGTTATTTTTCTACATTTTTACAGCGTAAAAGCGCTCACCACGGCATATTAAAGTGGAAACAAAAAAGAATTTACCCCTTCTAATGGGCAATTTCATTCGTAAATAAATAAATATCACTTAATTGGCTCAAGATCTTAAAGTAACTAATGCCTTTGTATTACGGAAATATGAAACAATGAAGGCACCACAACACACAGACCCGAGACTATACAGAAAAGTTCAGATTCTACGTTAATCAACCGGAATCTCAAGAGATGGTGGCACTGTAAAATCAACATGCTAATCACTTCGCCATGGACTCCATATTGGAAATATAGGGCTATTGTTAAAATTAATTATAATTATGTTTATGTGTGTATCATATTTTCTATTATAATCAAACATAATGTTTTGACAAACTCCAAAAACGTAAGGCTTAAAAAGATAGAAATCTAGAGCCATAAAATATAATATTAACAGAATTATACATTCATAATCACAAATTTTAGCAAGATAAAAATCAAAGTTTATGCAATTGTAAAAAGCATATAGCAATTACAGAAATATTTTAAAAAGAGGGCGTCTGTAAAATCTACACAGTGAACTCGAAATTAAATTGATCTTGTTCACACTATGTTTGAAACAGAATACTATATTTACTTCTTGCCCGCATCGTATCCAGTCAGTATACAACGGAGTGCCGCCGTCAGTTGTTCATTCGGCTCCGGATCATATTTGGCCAGACTTTGCCTACAGCATGGACACTGCACACCGGTTGATTTGAAAGCAAGCTTTATACAGCCCATGCAAAAATTGTGCAAACAGGGTGTGGTCACTGGATTCACAGCCACGTCTTGGCATATGATACAGAGGAACACTTGGGTCACATGCTCCACGAACTCCTGTCCAAACGAAATGTAGAAAATGTTTTAGAACTCCTTGTAGAATTTTGAAAAAATGCGAGGATCTTGATTATGAAAGAATAAATAACATTTTTAAACAGTTGTTAAAATAAGAGTTTGGCAAATGGTAATATTTACACATAAATATGTTTCAAAAAAATGGCTAATTCAAACAAATTACTCCAAGAGTAAGACATAAATTAGATACCCCTGACAGACTGGGTACCACCACTCCACAAGTTATAAAAAACTAGTTAACATATTATTTTGGTGTACTAATTCAAGTACACTAAAACACTATAAGATATTCATATCCTCCATAGTTATATAGAAATTACCCCACCTCTTTGGGTGCTTACATTACATTTGTAATCCCTAAGTATATTAAAAGTGTGTTTATAATGTAATTTTACATCAGGGTAAGTACTACTTGATTTACTTTATTTTACACTATTACACTAGTAAACAAAGAGGGATGACGAAAAATTTTTATTTATTTATCCGCCAGGTAGGTTGTTGAAAAATATTAAACACTTATTTTTTCCTAATCATTAAATTACGGCGATATATTGAGTTAAAACATCTCAATTACATCACGAGTAAATCTTATAGTACATTGGGCTTCATCCTACGTACTTGTCAACCGCTTACTGAAATAGACAGTACTAAAACTGTATGCTGCGCATATATACGGAGTATTATAGAATATAGTAGCTGTATTTGGACCCCCAACTTATGTATATCATAAATCGCGTGTAGATTACATGGACCTCACTTCCGCTATTGGTTACGCCGCTAATTGTAGAAGTACATTACACATTAGGTAGGTACATTTTCTACAAAACTGTGAACGAGCCTTCACTCCTAAACTTTAATGCCTGTTATCTCGGCTATTTCTTGTTAAAGTAAAAAAAAAATGTTTCTATTATATGAATGACGGACTAAATAGATTTTTTACCCGGTCGTCATCCATATTGTGTAATTTGTCAAATCATCTTTCTCAACTGTACTATTTTCACATAATTAGAAACAAAATACAAAACCTAAAACAAACTAACAAGGTATTTATGAGTAAAATAGAGGAAAGATTGATTATGATAATTAAAGTATTAATTTTACCTTTTTACCCTTCTCGTTGCAAACTTCCAAACATTCGTCCCATAGTTTAGTATTGAGTGTATCAGCTTTCACAAACTCCATCTCCTCTGCACTGAGAACACTGTCAACTTTTTGTTGCTTTTTGTTCTTAGGACTCATATTAAAAATACTAGCAATCTTTGTTTTTGGACTCTCTATTATACTTTTGTTCTTTAGAGCTGGAATTTGAAAAAAGTTGCATAAAAAAATGTAAACAGAAATAGTATCAATTTTAGTAATTGTATTGAAAAATATAAATTATATTTAAAATAATATTATTATACAAATATACTCAATACTCAAATGTTTATTGCAAAATAGAGGTTACAACATAATAATATCAGAATCAAGCTATGGAGCCTGTCGGGCACAGCAACACTTAACAGTGAGGAGGACTTATCAAAAATAAATAAGTCATTGTAATAATCATAATTCTACAACATTAAAGACAAAATAAAATGATAAGTTTATTAATTGTTATTAATTTATATAATTTTATTTATATAAATATTTTATTTTGCAATATTATCATCTGTATAAAATTTATTGATTGATTAGTATTTAATTTAATATTGTTGTTAAAATATAATTTGTGTCTTTAGAATTGGTTAATTTATGTCTTTTGACATAAATTACATTATTTATGTATGACATTATTATATATACATGACATTATTTATTTTTTTTATCTAAAATTGGTTTAACGCCTTCTTAATTAAAGTTTTCATTTATATTTTATTTTCTTGAAATTTTAGTTTCATTCTTTAACAATTAATTTAGAACTATATTATTTATTGTAATTAATTTTTTAACTATATTAAAGTTCTTTTTTGAATAATAGTTGAATTATTTTTATTTGATTAATTTGCAAATGAAATATGTACTAGTAATTTTTTTAATATTATCGTCAAGATATTGATTCTAACTGACCAACAGAAAAAACTAGTGTATTTTTAGGCGGAAACACGGTAAGTTTAATCTATTTTTGTGTCTAAGATCTGGAAGATATTTATGTGTACTATAAAATTCAGGATATTTGCAAACAAATATATATGTGCACGGTAAGGCTAAAATTTTATTTTTTGGGAAATAAGGCCTACAAGGTTTAGTTCCATCAATATTTGCTATAATTCTACTTAATTTTTTTGTAAAATAAAAACAGAAGGTGCATCTTTGCTGTTTTACTACATATTTTCCCATACATCAAAGTAGCTGCCTAATTTCTTCCTAATTAATCCATGAGTTATACAAACAGGAACATAATACGCTTGATAACTATAAAGAAGATTGTACTTACGTCTGCCTTTCTTTTTTAGTGGATCCTCAGTTTTACGCTTCTTATTCGGCGGAGAGACTTCACCCTCGGATTCCGTCTGGTTGCTCTCTCGAAGTGCCCGCTTCTTAGTTTGCTTCTTACCAGATTTTTCTTTTTTCTCTTTCAGAGCTTTCTTCTCTGCTTCCGCTTCTAAGTAGCCATCGGGGTACTATATGAAAGCATAGAAGACGTTTTCTACTGTAACACGTCTCGCACATTCAGTAATACTCAAATAATCGAACTAGTGATATCAAAATTTTCTAATCTATACTTATATTATAAAGAGGATAACTTTGTTTGTTTGTTTGTAATGAATAGGTTCCAAAACTACTGAACCTATTTTAAAAATTCTTTCACCATTCGAAAGCTATATTATCCACGAGTAACATAAGCTATATTTTATTTTGAAAAAAAAAATAGGGTTCCGTACGATATTTGGGTTTTTCGGACACAAGGTGTAAAAAATCAACCAGAAGTTACTTATTTTGAGTATGCTGCCTACATTATAAAAGATAGAACCATAAAATGTTCTAATTAATTGTCAATCAATGTAATCTTATAAATATCTACAAAAAAATCCGCGACACACTATACCTATCTATGTCGAGTGTGGCACGACAACCATTTTTTTATAAAAAAAATTTGGAATATTTTTTGGACTACATTTAATCCTAGCAAGCATGAGTAAAATAAACGCGTTTAAATGTAGTCCTTAATAAAAATAAATTATTTCATCTCTAAGTACAGTTTATGTAGATACAATATTTGGTCTCTGAATGATTAAAATTGGACGTTTGGTTTTGAAGTTATGGCGAAATTAATATATTACGATTTCTGCTGCACGGCCCGTTGCGCAGTGGGCATCACCAAAGTGGGAATACGCGTGCGGGATGGATCTATGAGTAAGGTACCAGCGGACAACGCGAGCGAAGCCGCTGGCGGAAAGCTAGTATCTATATAAAATTAGATTGCCGCCAGCGACTTAACCCGAATGGTGCCTAGGGAACCGTTTAGTGGGATAAAAAGTAATCAATTTAATAGTAGTATTTATAATGATATTAGTAAAATGTAAAGGGACGTTTGTGTAGTCTGTTCCTAGAGAAGGCGAAAAAACGGAAATGACTTAAGGTAGTATGTAAGCTTTAAAAGTAATAACGGGAATTTAACTTCAAAACCTTGGTAAAGGACAAATGTTACTTTCTGTAGTAAAAAATAAACGGTTGAAATAGGAGATGATAATTTGTAATTACTAAAAATAAATATTTAATATAGCGCTTAATAAAAATAAATATTTGTTCTAGCATTCTTGAAAAGGCGAAAGTAACTATACTACCCAGAAGAAATCATTAATATAAGTCTATAATTGAAACAAAAGAAGCAACGCTAGAATAATAACTGGGGAATGCAATTACGTTCACGCGAGATCTCATTCTCGCGAGATCTCGGCCTTTTTTAGCGAGATTGATCTTGGTCGAAAAATGGGCGAGACCTCGCGAGTTTAACGAGATTGCACTCGAGCATAAAAACGTTTATTTTAAGTGCGGAAGCGTGAATTCATGTGAGTCCGATAATAAGAAGAATAGCAAGGATTCTTTGAACATTTTGTGCTTCTTAAGAAACTACTTTCAAATATATTCGTAATAATGACGCGTCAAGTCAATCGAATAAGCCTTTAAATTTGTATATTTTGTTAATTTATTCTCTAATTTCTAACAGATCTCTGGGTACACATAGTTTTCTTTCATTGATAATAATCTCAGTTTAATAGTCAATTCAACTTAGTTAATGAGAAAAATTTTAGTTTTTGTATTTTTGTTATAATTAAACTTTTATTAGCAGAGAAGACTGGTTGTTTATTTCATTTCGTATTTGATTATATACGTCAAAATTTAGTTTCTTAAAAGATTAGTACCTGGATGACTAATCTTTACTTGGCATTTTTATAAAATAAAAACAAAATAACCTAACTAAATCGACTTATCGCCTCTAAAAGCCCCTGCATACTTAATGTTATGAAAATTGTTGGAGCCGTTTCCGAGACTATAATACAGTAATTGCTCTTTTAAAGGTTTTAGATGAAAAAAATATAATTGCGTCAAACAATAATAAATACATGTATCTTTATTCAAAATACCCGTATAAATAAATGTTAATTTCATAATACGTGTAATTTCTGTATTTTTTCCTAATATCGTGATTTGAATAAATATTACAGTAAAACAGTAAACACACAAAATTGCCAATCTCGCGAGATCTCACGGTATTGATATTCATAAACTCGCGAGATCTCGCTCGAGTCCCAATCTCGCGAGATTGCATTCCCTAATAATAAATAATTACCACTATGGGAAATTCCTTAGCGCCAGGCTCCCATGGTGCGGGGTTGGGGTCGTCGCGACGTAGAAGATACTTCCAAACACGGAACCCAGAAATACCTTTCTCTGGATAATACTTCACCACTTTGTAAATACCATCGTAACTGTATAACAATATAATCATGAATTTAAATATTTGTGTACAAACCTACCTGTATCAATTACAGAATGAAAAGCAAATTTTGCTCAATTTAATACATCCGTTTATAGATATATGTATACTTACAAACCAAGTGAATAGTCACTAACATATAAAACTAAGAATGAAATCTACATGTACAGTCAGCCAAAAAAGTGGTTTTCGCTTTGGCCAAAAGTCCTATGAAATCAAATTACTACTAATCAGGAAGCTAAGATGATCAATTATGACGTATTATCAGTTCTCTAATTTTAGTTAATTATTATTAATACAAGGGGAAATCAACATTCAAATAAACATCAATTTTGCACACTTTTTGTTCGACTGTACATAAGTAAATCTAGTTCTGTAGATCTATGATAAAATAAATAAAATAATTAATGAAGTCCATTCTTACCGTATACCCTCCTTGGGTGCGTATTTAGGGAAATGTTTCAGCATTTTGTATGATCGTACAACTCGCACCGGTTTACCGTTGCGCCAATTATCACCAGCGTCGCCCCCTTCTTCGCTGATTTGCTTCACGGCGCAGTTACGTGCTAGAGCCCTGGCGGAATGGCAATATTAAATCTATTCTCATAAGGCTTACTTCAGAGTGATGACTTAGAGACTGCTAGTCATGATCAAATATTGTGAATACATATTGTACATCAATTTAAAAAATTTAATATGCGCATTACCCACAATAGAAAGTTCTAGTCAGACAAAACTAATTCAATTAAATAATTTCTAAATCAAACATAAACAAACTGTCATGATATAGCATATATGTGTATATATAATATACATTGTGGTGGTTTACTGTAAGTCGAGACACTGTCAATTCATTATATTGTGTATGATAACCCTAATAACTTTATAAATAAATCTGTGAGTAAATTAATTTTCTTGCATTTAGAATGACTAATTACAAATGTGCAATATTATTGTAGAAAATTTGTTATTTCTGTTGTTATGGTTGACTTTCATCTGTGACAATAGATAACCATTATAAATCCTTTCTTGTCTAAAGGGTTTCAATACTTATAATTCCATACAAAATGTGTTTTTTGAATACTAACTTGTTCTCTCTTGTGAGGGTTTGATCACAGGATTGTTCGGCGGTGCGTTTATTACCAGAAAGGTCCCTTCCACCACTGCCAGTATAAGTGAACTCGTTTCCATGATCAACGTCATCCTCGTAACCACCAGACAGAACGATACTATACGCCCCTTCTACGTCACGACCATGTATACCCGACACAGGTGGACGGTGAACTCCGGATTCAGACAACTAAAAAATATCAAGAAACATCAAGGCTAAATTAGCCAAATATGAGCTAGATGACTGATACTACTCACGAAACAATATAGAAATCATATGAATTTGATACAAGTAGACATACCTGAATCCTAAATCTCCAGCACATTCCAACTTCAATGCCAGGAATTGGTCCAAAGTGATTTGGAGGCATTGCACAGGTTTTAGTTTTACCTGCAGCAGAATTTTTTTAATATATTTTTATACCTAAAGCAGGTAGTTCTATCCACAACATTGACTTGTTCAACATTCAACAATTACTTTGTTCTATACTGACTAATTAAATATACCTATAGTATTTCCTAGAGACAATTATAATTATTTTTGTTATGATTGTAATACGTATTTTTGTCTTATAATGACATGGCTGATGTAAATGTCGTTACTTCTCATAAAGAGCTAGTAAGTTTTATCTCTTGTTCTTGTCAGCCGAGACATCCTGAACAAGCAATAGGATAAAAATGTTGGGTGATTGTTAGCGCTTGTTTTTTGAATAAAGTATTTTTAATTTTTCAATAACAATTAGAAGTTAAATACTATATAATACTCATGATAACACAAATCGCTTTGCTGTAATTTACACAGTTGATAGAAAATTGAAGAAATGTTCAGTCATCAAATATTTTGTTATAATAGTAAAAGGGTCAAAATTAAAGGCTGAAGCTTTAGTTAGTGCTGGAAATAAATATGTTTGTAATGATACAAACATAAATTTTATCTATATGGTGTTGTATTTACATTTCGAAATGATAGTACTATATTACAGAAGTTTCTGTTATCTCATCATAATACGAGGGTCAAACTGAAAGTTCTTAGAAAATCAAAAACTGATTACATTAGCCAGTTATTAGTTTTATTATATCTTTTCAAAATATTGTCCATTCACGTCAATACACCTCTGCATGCGATGGAACCACTGGGAAAAGCACTTTGCCCACTCGTCCTTAGGGGTCTCTTCAATGGCATCGCGATACGCAGCCACCGCTTCTTCAGCATTCATAAACCGCTTTCCTTTAAGTTTTTCTTTAATTTTTGGAAATAAATAAAAATCACAAGGCGCGAGGTCGGGGCTATACGGCGGGTGACCCAGTAATTCAACGTTTGATGTCGCCAAATAGTCGATCGTTCGCTTGGCGGTGTGCGACGAGGCGTTGTCGTGGTGAAGGAGGATCCTACTGCGAGGTCGTTTCTCTCGAACTTTTTCCAAGACAAGTGGCAAACAATTGGTAGTGTACCATTCTGCAGAAACTGTTTTTTGATCCTCTAACACAATTGTTGCAAAATGACCTATCCTTCCAAAGAACGAGGCCACCATTTTTTTTCCCGCACTTCGATCTCTCTTCACTTTAGTTGGCAACTCCTCGAAAGGAAACACCCACTGAGCAGATTGTCTTTTGGTTTTAGGATCATAACAGTAAATCCAGCTTTCGTCACCTGTTAGTATGTCGAACACAGCATTTGAGTCACCTCCGTTAAATCTTTCAATCATTTTACGACACCAATCCACACGATGGAGTTTTGAGCCTCAGTCAAATTATGAGATATCCACCGGGCGCAAAGCTTCCTGACCGCTAAATGTTCGTGGAGGATTTTGTGCACTTGACTCATACCGATGCCTAAGCTTGTCCGAATCTGTTGATAGGTCACTCTTTTGTCAGTCTCTATCATACGCCGCACAACACAGATGTTATCTTCAGTCGTCGCCGTAGAAGGCCGTCCCTCACGTAAATCATCAGCGAGATTAGTGCGACCACGTTTAAACTCATTAAACCAGTTGTAAACAGTCGCACGAGATGGGGCTTCATCGTGAAAGGCCAATCGTAGTCTATCATAACTTTCTTGTTGACTTAAATGACATCGAAAGTCATAAAAAATCATTGCACGAAAATTTTCTCGTGTTAAATTCATGATGACGTGACACAGACAATTTTCAATTTGCCGCCAAATCGTAAAACAAATGACAAATGAATGAAATATATACTCAGTAATATTGGCAAAGAGTTATATTTTCAAATTTTAGAATTATTTTTTTATTATATTGTTTATAAGTGGCCAGTTCTAAGAACTTTCAGTTTGACCCTCGTATGTCATATAAAATATGGTAAAGAATAAAATTCAACTTAACAGGCTCAGCAATTGAGTATTCGTATTAGCAGTAATAGGACGAATTACTGATAATTTCTTTCGCCAAATTGCAGCACTAGCACAAGCAGGAAACTTTTAGGAACTAATATAGTATTATTTTAATTTATAATTAGAAAGAGTAATATAAATAAATATAAGAAAGAGTAATATAAGTAATATAAATATATTGCTGCATATGTGGATGAAAAATATACATATACCAGATAATATATCCAAAAACTGTTGTTTACTAGGTACATGTGCTACTGCTGCCATCTAAGCCAAGCTTTGCTTAATCTATTGTACTATGAAACCCAAAATTCATTGTTTGTTTCGTAAATTTCATTTTATGAATGTAGAAAATTAAATAACACAGTAAAAATAAAAGAAAATCGCAAGGCAGAAGTTGGAACAAAATACAATTATGGTTAAGATTTTCACTGCACAGATGAATTATATAATGATCAATAGATTAAAAATGTTTCACTTACCAGCACAGGCCATTCCACGTCCCCAATCCCTACTGCTCTTAGAGCCTGTATTCTTCTTTAACTGCTTGGCTGCTCCGGGAGCAATAACATCATTGGGATCTCTCTTACATGAGGGACAATACCAGTCCTCCTCAGGCAACTCTTTCAGAGGAGGTGTGAGACAGTTCATATGGTATCCATTGTTGCATTCATCACATAGTACTATCTGTAAGTGAATAACTTGTTACATATAATAAAAATATATATCACAAGCTGGCATATTCAACAATTTTATTCTATAAAAAAAAATCAGTTAGTTACTATACAAATAAAAACATTTCAAAATGTAATTTTAAGTTATGACAGCAAACCTTTTCAGGGAATTCCTTTCCCAAACATAAATAACACCCACAGTCCTTGCATGGAGCTTCCTCATCATCTCGACAAGTCAAACAATTCAAAGGCAGTGACCCTGCAATAAGAAAAACAGGATGCAATAGATACATACTGATCTAAAAAGTGATGGAACAAAACACAGAAGAACCACATGTTTATAGGTTTGGCAGTCTTGTGTATTTATAAGTATGAAATAAATTTACTTTATATTTAGAAAGTACTTGAAAGACAACTGTCTCAGGCTAGACTCAAAGAGTGACCAGTATACTTTTGAATTTCTCAAATACTTGTCACTACTAGTATTTAGCAATCATGCCATTGTGAATGTAATTGACTAAAAATAATTTATTTACTTTTTTCAGTTTCCGTTGTCATAATTTTTCTTAGTTCCTCAGTTCTTTCTGTCAAAGGCACAACATCTTCTATAGCAAATATTTTATCATGTACTTTAACTTTAGTATCATTCTGTGGAACAGCATCAGCACCTAAGTATAAAGTTCCAAGTAATTCATAGCTTGTTCTTAGCTTCTTGATTTCATCCACTTTGAAATCATACCTATAAATAATTACAAAACATTAGTTACACAGAATTTTACTAGGATTTAATATAACATCAAATACTGACCAATGACCCTTTTCCAAAGGTTCTTCCGTATTGTGGTTTACCATAACCATTTGTCCCTCTTTCAAATCTTTTATGTCAATAACAGTCCGTGCTCTGGGTCTTATGTCTTTTGACTTGCAATAGAGATTGGAATCCTCTTCGCTGTTTTAATAAAATATTATTAGAAAAGGAACAATGATGTAAAGATAACAAAACAATAAGAAGTCAAACTTACTCTGCATCTAATTGAATTTTGTATAGCAAATTACCCTCATCAATTTTTCCATTACATTCTGTGTCCATTATCTTCTTTTTAGAATTTTTTGGACTTTTTGAAAAGTATTTAGCTATGCCTTTCTTTTTAGCTTTACTCTCAGGACCATCATCTGCTGGAGGTTTGTTTTCCAGATCACTTTCTTTATCAGAGTTAATTTTGCTTTCGTTATTGTCCGTACTTTCACCATTATTGCTAGTGTTTGTATCACTATTTAATGAACTAGGGCAATAAACTATTCTTACTATTTTTCCTTCTAACCAAGCTCCTTGTTCCTTTTCCCTCATATCAATGATATCTCCAACAGCGTAAAGTGTACTTTCAGCATCTAACAATAAAACATAAATTAATGAAAGTTTGCTATCTATATACTGATATGTGAACTATACACTATTTATAACTGTTCATTTCAATAATCTTTTATTATTTATGTAAACTAAATATATTTGAACAAATTATAAATTCACCTTTATAGATTATCTCTTTACTTTCATTATTTTCCTTATCATTATCTTCAGACTTCTTGGATTCAGGCTTTTCTGTGTCTGAACCTGTGTCAGGTTGCATTTTAACCATAAGTTGGATGACATCATTAAGTTTAATGTTGTAATCATGGAATGTATAACCATTTTCTAGCTGTAAGAAAACAATTGAATACAATTTTTCAGATAATGTAAATTGACATTTTATTATAATATCTATCTATATCTTCATGCCATGTTTTTTGTGGGGTAGACAGAGAGGACCGACATCACAAAAGTACTGTATTTACATAATAATATGATTCCTCTTTATAGCAATTATTATGAGAATTAGCACACACATCAATGGTGTGAAAGTAGTTAACATTATCAATTGTAATTATTAAATATATAATATATAAATAGTAGAATACAGTAAAGGCATTTTCTAGATGATTAGGACCATAATTTGTTTTCTGTTATATAATGTGACAGATAATTGAAGTAACTATGATTTTATTAAAAAAAAAACAAATATCAATTATTTTAATGACTAAAAAATTGAATTGAAATTTATATTTTTCTTGATAGTTGCGTCTAGGGGCGACTAGGGACCAATTTCCATACAAAATTCCTAACGTTTTCAAAATCAAATGTGAACATAAACAAAAAACTTAAAGTAAACACCATATAACCTAAAAGAAGACCTTTTTTAGAATAATACTATACATAAATATAATGCAAAAACGAAATAGCGAATAAATATCTGCCTTGGCAAAGTAAATCACTATCGTCAGTACAAATATTTCTACTTACCAATTTTCCACCATAAAACAATCGTTGCAATTTTGGCGCTACATCGAATTTTTCACTAACGATTTTGCGAAATTGATCTATTTTCGTCAATTTAGACTCTACAACAACGATGGTATCTGGCTTTCCAAATATTCTCACACGAACATGCATTATGGTGATAAAATTTGTGAAATGAAATTTTATTCAATACAATTTTGCCACTAAAACCTTTGAAATCGTAGTGTTTGACAGCCACAGAACTCATTGACAGCAGAAACGGCGCGAAGCACATACCTATTAGTGGCACAGAATAATAGCGTGAAGTAACTTTTTTATTGCTTTAACGGCACCGAATTTTTGCCCTTTTTATCTTACAATCACTTCATTATAAAAAAGGGAAAGATAAATCCATGCAGTAAATAGTTAAATCAGTATTTTGTACATAATGCTTTATAGCATCTTGCATCACTACGAAGCGTATGTAAACGTCACTATCATTGTTAAGAACAACACTGTCAACTTTACTTTACTCACTAAAATCAATCTTTAATTTTAAAATCTTGCTGTGGGCATTTTAATAATAAATGATTTAAATTGACACCTTTTTTATTACAATAAATACACTCAGAGTTGCTGATGATTTTCAGTCTGTGCAGATGGGCAGGAGTTTTGCACTTGTCAAATATATCTATAATTATGTAGGTGGTGTACAGAAATTAAATTTACACTAACTATTTTCCCATAATCTTTTATTCTCATTGGCCGAACTAAGGGCAAAGTCATAAGAGCAAGGGTCATAACACAAAAGAAAATTTCGTTTATGTTAGAAATATCCTAGCTTATAGTGTGATAATTTGGTGTGACTAAATATAAGATTATTTATATATTTACTGGCTCTTCCCTGTCTAGAGTAATGATTTTTTATTTCATTTAAAAAACATAATTAAGTAAAATAAAAAATTATGATATAGGGAAATTACTGAAAAGAGAGAAAAATCCACAAATTTTAATCTTCAAAAAAATCGAAACGCGTAAAGTGGATACATAAAATATTTTTATTGAGTTCAAGGCCAGATATTTAATAGAATAGATATTTAATGAGGAAGTTTTTTAAAAAAACAAAAGCACTAAAATAGCATCTCCACTAGATGGCGACTCTAGCAAAAGTTGATATTTGCAGGAAACGAATGGACCAATGACAGTCATTGTCATTTCTTTAAACTAACATATTAAAAGACTGAAATTTGAAAAGTTCGAAACTTAGATATCAATACAAATACTAAAAATTACAAAGAAAATATGAGTTGTCTATTGAGTTTTGAAAACTAATTTACTTTTAAATTTGAAAGAAAACCGGTAAGATTAACATGGAGAAATCAAGAACGTACCGTAGCGACATCTAGTTTGATTTCGGGAACTAATTTTTTTTTTAGTAATAGGGTTCCCTTTGGGTACGGAACCCTGAATAGTGATACTCGTATTTTTTTAAATAAATGTATTACTAACAATATTAAATATCTATATAAAAAACCAATAGCAAAGTAGAGGTTTTCCCACCACCAAATCTAATACCGAAGGTGTTAGGGCAACTCAATCGAGCGAAAGGAACTTTCCTCCAAGTAGTGCCCAGGTGGAAAAAGGTATTCTGAAGAACGGATTTGAAGTCACGCGCACAAGCACCTCCGTTCAGCATTTGGAACCTCAAATTACAAATAGAAGATTTTTGATAGATATGTCGACAGGCTTGCCACCCCCCAGCATTCAAGATTTAGAACTGGAAGTTTGGAAATGTGGGAGTGGGCTGGGTATTTCAGTCTTTGAAATGTAGACCAAATCGAGTTGTTGAAGGCTTCATGGCGTCCTTCAACACGAAAGACATATAGTGTTGCCTGGAAAAGATGGTTAACTTGGTGTGAAGAAAATAACATAATAGCAGAAAAACCTTCAGGAGAACAATTAGCCAGATTTTTTGCAGATTTATATTTGATTCACGGCCATTCTTATAACACTATTTTATTATATAAATCAGCTATTTCTACAGTGTGTAATTCAGAATCAACTAGTGTTTTGAGTTCACATGCTTTAGCGAAACATGTGTTGAAATTGATTTCCCTTAAGAAACTATTAGACTTGACGATTTGATTGATTTTATAGAGCATTATTCAGTTGATTTCGATAACATTTTTCATGTCTGTAGACATACAGCAGCCTTGTCTCTTCTTGTTTCGGGTAGAAGAATACATGACCTTACTTTACTGAGTATTGAGCTGAAATTCAATTACCTTTTGGCCTTTATTTGGTTTGAAAACAGATACTTGCGGTTACCGTCAGACAGGTTGGAAATTGTTTTCGAATTCAAATTCATTAAGATTAGATCCTGTTTTTTGGATATATAAGTTGATTATTTGTTAAGAGACAGACGAGAAGCTGTAAATTGCCATAATTTATTTATAACATTTAGGGGTAATCCAAAAGCAGCATCTAGAGCTGTGATAGCAGGGTGGATTAAAATCCTTCTAGTGGAAGCAGAGATTAAAGCAACTCCATATAGTTTTAGATCGGTTGTTGCATTCAAAAACTGGCTGGATGATTATCCGCTCGAAGAAATATTATTGAGAGGTAACTGGCGCTCTAGTCTTACTTTTCATAAGTTGTATTAACGGGAAGTGATGTCTGCTGCTGCTACGACAAATAATGTATCAAAATATTTTTCTCCAGTGATTGATTGAATATTGTAACAATCGTAACTAACGTTGGGAAATGAACATGTATATGAGAAAAAATGTTTCTTTTAATAAACCTTGTGATCAGGATAATCATTTTATTTTGATCTTCACACTGGCGTCACGTTTCTCCTTCCTATCACTAGGCGATAACAGACACGTCTCATATAGCTATAAGCTTCGAATAACGGTCAAGTTATTTAATAGCAGCATTTTACCTACCAATAAAACGCATATTAAATTACTTACCTTAAACGAAGCTTATAGATAATGGCTGCCTAGTATTACTCGACGCAATGAAATCTAAATATGTTTCACTTCGCATCACAGCTCGCCCCCCTTCCGAAGTGAAGGAATGAGAAACCACAGAAAGAGAAAAAGCTATAAGTTAGAAAAGGAAAGAATCATAGGCGGGAACCACAGACTACCATCTCATAAGGTAAGTAATTTAATATGCATTTTTTTGGTAGGTAAAACGCTGCTATTTTTTAAAATACCTTGGGGTTGAGATGAGGCCAGCATTTTCTAAATTCATCTTTAGCTTCCAAATCAACATGCAATTAAAACTATCTGTCTGTTGCTTGTATAATTAGAATAGAATTTAGTTATGTCAGTGCCCAGGAAAGAAAGGGAAACAAAATGAAATTTTTATTATTAATTTTATAACATTTATTTAGACATTACACTATCGATGAAGACATTTGAAAAACTTCCTAAAATATCAAAGGTTGGGGGTAGGTATGGGGGCTTAAAGAGTAATTGTCGTAGGCCACTCGGGCCTACACCGGCATTGTCCATTTTAACAAAACTTTACAACAAAAACAAAACAATACCAACTTAATCACGGAAAACGGCAAAACAATAAGGAAGGCTGTAGCATTTACAATCCCAGATTTCGTATTTTGACAATTATGAATAGACAAAATTAAAAAGCTGTACTGCCGAAAAGTTTGAAGGGATTAGGCAACGTTTTAAATTTGGTAGAGTTATAGTCGGACGTCTTCCGGCTGATGATGATGATAGTGACATGAGAATAGTGCCGAAGCTATCCAACCCTGCTTCTTTAGTTTCTTTTAGATGAACACTTTTATTGTAATAGTTATTAAATCATTTAAATTAGTCAAATACTCATAAATTTGTTTAATATATAGCTTAAATGACAACAGTTAAGTATAGCAGCTGGCGTGGATATGTAGCAAATTAGACGGCAGTCTTAAGAGTAACTTGATTGTTGATATTTTGTCACAAGGTATACCATAAAAAGAACCTTATTTAACTTCTATCTTATGCTATAATGAATGGAGTATAGGTATGCCTAAAAATAATATTATATAGTGATATAATGGGGAAGTATTAAAAAAAACACTATTTTCCAAAATCATAGATGAGCTACGGTACGTTCTTGATTTCTAAATGACAACCTTTCCGGTTTTCTTTCAAGTTTAAAAGTAAATTACTCTTAAAAATTCAATAAACAAATCATTTTCTATTTGTACTTCTTTTGTGTTCTGTTTTTTAATATGTTAGTTAAAAGGAACGGAAATGACTATCTTTGGTCCATTCGTTTTCTACATAAATCAACTTTTGCTAAAGTCGCCATCTAGTGAGGTGTTTTTTTATTGATTTTTAAAAATTCTTCCTCATTTAATAAATAGATCATATTAAATGAGGAAGTATTAAAAAAAACCATTAGTTCCCGAAATCAAACTAAATATCGCTATGATACGTTCTTGATTTCTCCATGACAACACTTCCGGTTTTTTTCATGTTTCAAAAAAAAATAGTTTTCAAAACTCAATAAACAACTTATATTCTATTTGTACTTTTTCGTATTTGTATTAATATCTAAGTTTCGAACTTTTCAAATTTCAGTTTTTTTATTATGTTAGTTAAAAGGAACGGACATGACTGTATTTGGTCCATTCGTTTCCTGCAAAAATCAACTTTTGCTAGAGTCGCCATCTAGTGGAGGTGCTTTTATAATGCTTTCGTGTTTTTTTTATACTTCCTCATTGCGATAGATTTTGAAATAAGACAATTAATTCACGGATTATATATTACCACACATTTGTAATATTTGTAATCTCTTGAAGTTAATAATTAATCACGCTATTATTATTATACTTATTTACAGTAAAAAATTCATGATTGCTTTTGTATACCTATAAAAATAGTTTTCAAAACTCAATAAACAACTTATATTCTATTTGTACTTTTTCGTATTTGTATTAATATCTAAGTTTCGAACTTTTCAAATTTCAGTTTTTTTATTATGTTAGTTAAAAGGAACGGACATGACTGTATTTGGTCCATTCGTTTCCTGCAAAAATCAACTTTTGCTAGAGTCGCCATCTAGTGGAGGTGCTTTTATAATGCTTTCGTGTTTTTTTTATACTTCCTCATTGCGATAGATTTTGAAATAAGACAATTAATTCACGGATTATATATTACCACACATTTGTAATATTTGTAATCTCTTGAAGTTAATAATTAATCACGCTATTATTATTATACTTATTTACAGTAAAAAATTCATGATTGCTTTTGTATACCTTAACGTGCCGTTGCCTGTACAATGGTTCTTTACGTTATTAGTGTCCACCTGCAGAAAATAAAAATTGCTTTTATTTTCATTAGCACCAATTAAAAAGGCAATAACTAAACTGTGATAACTTTAATAGTGGTATATAAGTATTTTAGTTATACACGTTTCTTGCGCATACGTACCAAAATGATAATCAACCGTTACGGGCTAACTTTAGTTCTACTAAGTTTTGTCAAAAATGTTAAAACAAAACTACCCTCTCTGGTTAGTATTAATTTATTTTAAATATAATACAATACATAAAAATGTTAATCATTTTTTTTTATAGCACCCAGTATTAGTAGCGCGTTCTTCGCTTGATTGGATGCCAAGTAGAGTCAATTCACTTTATTCTGATGTTGGTGCATGGAGTGGCAAGTTTGTAAGTTTAGTTTGAACATTTGGATTACGTTACTTATATGTATAATTGCTATATTTATTATATTTTATATTGTGATTCGCAATTGAATACTTTCAGAGGCCAGTAATGGATGAAATTGAATCAGATGAAGCACTACGTTTTTATCAATTTTTAAATTATTTAGATGGTGGGAGTTTTGGTACCGGTATGTGCATTTAAAAAAACGTAAACCAGGCTTACCTGTTTTAAATTATTATAAAAATATTTAATTTTGTAGTTGCGTTGCTGCTTTTAAGTATCTTGTGGAAATCGTGTTATTTTAATGTGAAAAAGCTTTAAGTTGAGTATAACGCTATTAAAACAGTGACACCAGAGGGAAACTCTCATGTACATAATTATAACATTAATAATTGGTTTTAAAATACATTTTGAAAATATATTAAAGTACTTATTAGCTTTTTGGGTGACCTCCTTTTCTTGCTTGGGATAACAGTGTACATTTGCTAGCTTGATTTCAGGTCCCATCGATGAGTTTGTCGAAGCAATGTACAGACTCGCAAATTATATGAAACAACAGAATAGTAGGGAAACGCAAGCTAGGGGTATGAGAGAACTTGAGGCTATAAATGGCGAAAAAGGTATTCCCAGCTAGTTATATATCCCCACCATTATTATTTTACGATAAGATTACAATTTTATTTTCTGGTTCCCATGATCAAAAATGATGAGATTTATGTTATTGATAAGAAGAGGCTTGAGTTAATTCCATTCGGTTCGACAAATATATATTTTCCACGCTACATACAAACCGTGCCCAATGGTGCCACGTGATATTTAATAACTTAGAACGAAACGGGCATATACCTGTAGTGACAGCATACAGTGAGCAAATGTGTCACTAACCATACTACATAGTATGAAACTCACGCCTTAACGAACAAAAATATGAATTTATATTCCTCGCCTACTTCACTTCTTATATTTCCGTCCACACTTATTCTCATACTCATGACCTTAGTTATATAGGAATCATCCCTTCTCATTTAATGTCCATACAATAATTGATCCTGACTTTGTCTCTTTCGATTTTTGTCTCTCCAGGATGTCCATCTTAGTACACGCAATTCAGCCACATGCTGTGAGGAAGTATTAGAAAAAAAAAACTCGAAATGAAACTAGATGTCGCTACGGTACTTTTTTGATTTTACCATGACAACCTTGCCGGTTTCCTTTCAAGTATAAAAGTTTTGAATAAACAACTCATATTCTATTTGCTCTTTTTCGTATTTTTATTGATATCTAAGTTTTGAACTTGCAAATTTCATTTTTTTTATTTGTTAGTTAAAAGGAACGGAAATGATAATCTTTGGTCCATCCGTTTCCTGCAAAAATCAACCTTTGCTAGAGTCGCTATCTAGTGGAGATGTTTTTTAGTTCTTTCTTTTTTTAATTTCTTTACATTTTTTTTGTTGCATTCCCTTTAGCGTCCAGCTCTCTGATTCATTTAAGACGACAGGTCCAAATATGGTCTTATACATTCCCCCTCAATTTAAGGGGTTAATTATGGTCGAAAATATATAGTTTCCTTAACCTATCGCTATTTCATCCAATCGGAACTGATTAAGTGCCTTATACTTTTATATTTATTATTACTTTGTTGCATATATGAACCCAGTTACCGACATTTGAACAGACTGACAAAATAAACTAAATAATCAATGTGACTGGTAGACGGATGGTGACACCGCCGAAACTGCAACACGTATTCGGTTTTGGTTCTGATTTTCAAACCAACAATGAAAAATTGCGAAGTTTCCAAACTTTGCCGCGGCTTTTGCAGTCTATTTTGAACATGGAGGTTTTATTGAATTGAAAACAATATTTTTTGCATAAATCAAATGTTATATTAGTGCATCCATTACAGCTTAATGCCATGTTTAACTAACCGGTAATGGCATAATATTGGTTGCGGATTTTGAATATCGTTCACCTAATTTAGCATTGAGTTTTACGACTAAAAATATTTCAGGTAACAGTATAAAAACTGTATTAGAAGTTAGCACCGTTATAATGAGGAAAAAAAGGAAATTCTTCTGTACTGGTGAAGTGAAAGAACCTATTGTCAATAATAAAATCATTTGCAAGGTTGGTTAGACTTATTGATAAATTTCTAAAAAAGTTTATTTTATCGCAATGATTTACAGAAAGAACTTTAAACAAAAAGAACAATAATATACATAGCTTAAATAATAGCATAATATTGGTTTATTTGCCTTTATTGCAGGATAGAATATTACTTCCTATAGCTGGCACTTCATGTAGGGACGCTATCATGTATTGGCATCCCGAACTTACTGAAGAACACTACTGCGTGGGAGCTCTTGAATCAAAGAGTGCAGTTCACGTGATGGATATTGAGGGTTAATAATACAATATATTTACCACATAATACGTTGTTTCGACTATGTTACTTTATCAACAACATCATCCAAAACTTTTTATTAACAGAATTACCAATACACTTTATTTTCATTGTTCACAGGAGAGATGTTTTGCAAGGGAGATGATTATTCGAAACGTGAATATCTATTGGCTTGTGACTTTTATGAAGACCAAGAAGCACCAGTCGCTGATCTTTTACAATATTATCCTGATCCTGATCCAGAAATAAGTCCTAAATTATTTTGAGAAAATTCAATAAATTCTTTAAGACTAATTTGTTTTCGCAATAACCATATCTGTAGAAAGAGCAGACGCTTCTAATATTGATGACACACACATTCCTGGCACCCTTAGGGCGCTTGAGTGCACTACACTGAATTTTCAAGGCCGGCGGTCCGATTTTTTCATGAAAAACCCGGACGAGTAGCTTGTGCACTCGTCCGTTTTTTCCTGATCGGAGCAGCGCAGTGTAGGGCAGCTCTCTTTGAAGCTACACGTTACTAACGTTAGGTACGATGAGATTTTTGGAACGTCGGTAATTGCGTTCGAAGACGTAGAAAGGTACCTAAATAATGACCAGATAATTTTACATAAACCATAACAAATTGAGGCAAGACGAAAGCATTTTTTTACTACTATCGGATGACTACTATCAGATGTAAAAACTTATACCCTTACTAATTTTGGTGACAGCATTCTTCACACACAATAGCTAAAAATATCTGTGACATTAGATTAAAATTAATGATAATGATCTAGTACTTGATGTTTAAATTTATAAACATGATATTTTTTTTTCGAATTTTTGTAAAAACAACTTTAAGCGATTTAACAGTTAACTGTATTATATATAGGCATAATTTTATACGCGTGGTTTAGTTTCTTTGAGCAGAAATATCTTTCCCTCAGAATACTTCTTTTTTTTTAAATTTAGTTATGACACAAACAGTAATAAAATATTACAATTAGACTTAAATGCGAAAAAGACATCGAGTGCCACTTAATTACTTCTTTTAATCTTCTGTTATGACATTTATCAATTGTCTAAAAAAATTTGATAATGACAAATTTCCAGGCAAACTTTCATCCCCGATTTTTCGCGATAAAATGTAGCCTATGTCCTTTCTTAAAGTTAAGTCTATTAACTATATTAATTTCCATTAAGATGGGTTCAGTTTTTTAGGCGTCTAAGCGTAACAACACTTATTTATCTTACCTTAAGTTGTCGATACTTTTAATACCATTCTAAAATCTAGCTAAGTATCGATACTAGAACCATACGCTGATCAAATAAGAACTATACCGAGTTTGCCAAAGCATATGCAGTGATATTTACACAGTTATTGAGGTTTGATAATTAATAGATTTTTTTATGAAAACATAGTTAACATTCTACTTAGTGACACTACGAAAGATATTTTAGATAAGTATAAACCTCTAGAGAAATGGATGGAAAAATTATATGAGAAGGGATGAAATGAATGTAAACATGAGAGTGACTGTGTTAAAGAAAAAGTTGATGAAACCTCTAGAGAAATCACATAAGATGCACCAATTGCCTATAACTTACTTATGCCAATATACGCCCATATCAACTATTACTCTTTTATACGTAGCTAATTAAACAGGAGTCGCTGATAAATATCAACGGATATATATATAAATAGACATTGATAATATTTATTGTTAGTTTGAGTATTCAGTCCCAGCTTGAAAATTAATCAAACCGGTGTGACGCTGGCAACATGGCTGGAAGTAGCAATCTTACTTATTAGAAATTTCAGGTTTTCCCCAGTACGTTACTGAGTATGCTCGAACGCATACTACATCTTAATTATTTCATAATAAATAAGCATATATTAAATAAACCAAACAAACTTTATTTTAAACTTTTGATTTAAAAGATCAAATATTAAATAAAGCAGCTTAAAATTGCAGCTTTTCATATGCATGATATATATCCGATATACACGGATCTATATCAAATATCGGGTATATGATATTTATTAGAAATATTGGATCTTTGTGAACCCTGAATAAAACTATGCTTTATATACGGTAACATGCATTAGTTTGTTAGAAAGAAAGAGGGAGAGACATACAAATACGTAATCAAATCAATTTGATTACAAACATTACATTAATAAACTTTTTCATAGGAAGACACCGCATTTCCTTTGCCTTTCTCATTTACGTCATAACATTGTCCAAAAATGTCAATGGTGTCAAGTTGGTGTCAAATTCCGCATTCGCATGGTGTTGTCTTTTATCGTCTATGTTTAAATTATTCTTGGTTTAAGCTATAAAAGATAATGTGTCCAATGGATCGCATTCAATAAACAGTTAGCTTGCTTCTATATATGTAGATAATCTTACAAGGCCACTTAATTTACCGTTAACGAGAAATGTGAAAGGTCAATTAACATCGTTGGTTGGGTTGAGGTTAGCGGGCTAGGCATTGCCATTTCAGTATTATTTAGGAAGGAAATTTATTTTGTTATCCAACACCATGGCTGAAGAGAAAGTGAAAATGCGTAAGCAATTGGGACTGTTAGAGGGCATCGCTATTATATTAGGAATAATATTTGGTAGTGGTATTTTTATTAGCCCCAGAGAAGTTATCGAAAAAACCGGGTCAGTTTGGGGTGCACTAACCGTATGGGGTGTTTGTGGTATATTGGCAACCCTTGGCGCTTTATCATATGCTGAATTAGGTAAGAAATAAACAGAGTTTTCAAATGTAAGAAAGTGGGTATCATCCTTAAAAACTTATTTAATTGCTCATATTGTGAATAAATTTTCTTTTAGACTTTATATTGATTGGTTGGAAAGTAACTGTTTAACCTTTATTTATACAAATTTTTATAACTGTACTCTAGAGTTTAATTGTATTAACATATATACCAAATCAGAAATGTTTTACTATGGAAACACATCTTATGATGTTATTTTATTTTTAATTATACAAAGAAAGTAAACATTAGGTGTTATTTTATTTATTAGTTACACTATTTTGGTAATAACTTTTTCAGTCATAGAAAATATAAATATTACTCTTAAGACATTTTCTTTTCAGGTACAACATTAGCACAAAGTGGAGGTGATTATCATTATATCAATGAAGCCTATGGTGCACTTCCGGCATTTCTTTACTTATGGGATGCCATTGTGGTGTTTGTGTAAGTTCACACTTATTGATTAAAAGTTTCTGTATATTATAAACATAGTAAGAGATTGTGATATTATCTAGTTATTGAGAAAATTAAAATTATTTTAATTAATATTTTCAGGCCGAGCACAAATGCTATAATGGCATTAACTTTTGCAAACAATGTCCTGAGTCCTATATTCCCATCATGTCCCATAGAACCATTGTCAAAGAAACTGATTGCAGCTGCTACAATATGTGAGTGTGTTTATATTGATTCCAAAGCTGTGATAAGATGAGATGAGCGTATCTCTTAAGTTAATTTATCTTCATAGAATGGAATTGTGATCACGTGGATATATATAAAAAGAAATAAGGAAACAGTGGTTAACAAATAAATTTTTCTCTTGTAAGTTTGAAGTACAATAAGATTACTTATGAATATGTTAGGTCAGAACTTGTAATTTGGCAAAAGTTTTAGAATGTAGACTCATTTTACTGTCTAACTTTTAGAAAAAATAATGGTATTATGTTAATGAAGCATTTTTTTACTTGCAAATATTTTCATTTAGTTATTTTTTGAAATAATATATGTATAACTTTCAGGTCTCTTAACATTCATCAATGCATATGATGTGAAAATTACAACTCGAGTGCAAAATGTGTTTATGTTCACAAAGATAGCGGCGCTTGCAGTGATCATTATTGGAGGCATTGTGTGGATGGCTAGAGGTATATATTTATTTCAAATATTACACTAGATACTGTCTTTCTAGATTGAGATCAGAGTATAGATCCACATACTGTCAGAAGGGGAGGGTTTTCATTGACGTTATAATGTGTGGAATAAATTGTGTGTTATGAAAATAAATCGAATTTACTTAACATATTTTATTATTAGCAAGCTAGCCAAACTATAAATATATCTATGCAGATGAGATTGTGACTTTTGATGTGTAGTATGAATGAATAATAGCGTTTCTCTATATGTGTTAACAATCTAATTATTTTTACAAATTTAATTTAACATATTCTAAATGAAAATGCTTTGGTTTAGGTGTTAGGTCCTGTTTAGCTTAATGGTTAGAGCAGTTGCCTGGATAGCGAAAAGAAAAGGATTTTTTAAGAATTTTTCATCAAGAATATTTTTCAGTATAGCATTGTGAATGCAAAGTTGATCAAATATAATAATTCATTTAACATTTCTTAAATACATAATTTTAGGAGGGGTAGAACATTTTGAAGATGGCTGGGCTGGAACATCAACTTCTGTAGGCGATTGGTCAGTTGCGTTCTACTCTGGAATTTTTTCATACTCAGGGTGGTAAGTATTAAAAATTGATCAGTTCATTAAATAAAACAACTGTTAAACGGTTTTATCTCATGTATTTAGTCAGTTAAATATAGATCTGTCTTAGAAATATAATCTTATTTCAAGAGTCAAGCAAAACAAACTGAAGTAGATTCTTCTCTATAATGATCTATCTCTTACAATATTACAGGAGTTACCTCAATTTTATGACAGAGGAGCTGAGGGATCCATTCAAGAATCTGCCACGTGCTATCTACATATCACTGCCACTTGTTACTGGCATCTATCTGTTAGCTAATGTCGCATATATGGCTGTATTGGGTCCTGTGGGTGTCAAAGCAACTGAGGCTATTGCTGTTGTAAGTATTTGGTTGTAATAGGGATGATGACTGGGTAAAAAAAATGCAATTCTATTTAGTCCGTCAGTCAGATAATAGAAAAATATTATTTATTTTTTACTTCAATTTAACAAGAAATAGCTTAGATAACAGGCATTAAAGTTGAGGAGTGGGGGCTCACTACGTCACAGTTGAGTAGAAAACGTACCCTAATGTGACGTCATGCGAAATATCAACTCAATGTAAAGCCGTAATTTTATAATTACAAAAAAAATGAAATAATATTTGTTTAATATTTTTTAACATTCTGACAGACAAACAAACATAAATTAGTCATCATCCCTATTCTCCAACTTTGTTAATTTCATATTGTAGATCTAATTATTTTATATTTTTCGTGTGTAAATATTTTTGATAAGTATGAGAGCTATTTTAGATTTTACGAAAAGTCTTTAAAAGCTAGCTAGAAAAAAATTATCAGAAGATGTCATGAAGACAATAGAAAACTTTTGTATATGTATTGCTTTTATAGCGAAAGTAATTTTTAATAAGTGCAATTTCGAATTACAATAAAATTATTTACATAAATTTCTTATGCTAATATATTTTATTTTTGGATATAAGCATAGCGGTACAATACTTTAATTTTTATATATGTTCTGTGTCTCAATGTGTTTTATCATACAGTTAAATTAGAAGGTGTTCCACTCATGCGCTCATATAAAATGTGAAGTTAAATCTCTGAAAAAGAGTGAATTTTGGCAAAAAAGGCTGGCATTTAAAGTGCTCATTGCTGTTAATTAATTTCATATTTTTGTTACTAAATTAAAGTTTTCCAGTGCTGGGTATATATTATATATATGAATTATATATATATGTATATATATAATGTTAAATGGTATGAATTATATATATATATATATAATATATATAACGATATGAATTATATCACAAAAAAGTATTTTTAAAATGTGCAATATTACCCATTGGCCCAAATATCACAAAACAATGTTTTCTGGGTTAGCTAGTAAAATGTTTGTTTAAAATTTGTGTGTAGGACTTCGCAGTTGTGGCGTTGGGTTTCATGCGATGGTTGATGCCCACTTTGGTGGCCGTAGCGACAGTGGGGGGATTGTCTGTGCACATAATGGCGTCATCGAGAATGTGTTTCGCCGGCGCGAGAAATGGTCACATGCCAGAATTATTGGCGCACATCAACTTCAAGTGTATGACGCCGTTGCCTTCACTTTTGTTTCTGGTGAGTTTTTAAATATGCCAGCTAGGTTATTCTGAAATAAAAAAACACTTTCGAGCACGACGTCGAGCTCAGAGCTGTCACGGCACAGAGCTTCAATGAAATTAAATCTTAGTTACCTTTTGTAGTAGGTACGTTTTATTTGATTGAACCTTTTGACGGCTCTGTGCCCGGCGTTGAGTTCGAGAATGTTTTGTTACCCAATGTTACCCACCACCAGTCTGGATTGGTGGGTGTTAATGACTGCAGAAACAGTTCAGAACAATGGTTTAACGAACCTTTCGAAGCACGAAGGAGCTTGATGTGATAAATTTTTTGGTCACCCAATGACCGGCCCTTGCGATAACTCCCGAACACTAAACACTGCGCCACCGAGCTCCTCTAAACCTAAAAATACAAATAAATGAAAGTTACTAAAACCTTAACACCTTAGGATTGTTAAGTCTGCACAATACTTGTTACAACTCTATGTTCTTTTATTTAGATGTTAATATCGCTTGTGATGCTGATACCGGACAATCTGACCACCCTGATAACTTACTGTACGGTTGTTGAGTCTTTCTTCACCACGCTCAGCTGTAGCGCCGTGTTGTGGTTGCGTTACAAGAAACCACACCTTCCTAGGCCCATCAAGGTATTTGATATACTAACTTTATTTGTCATTAAAAATTTATATTTACATGATTTGCTTTATCGCTAATAAACTTACTTTCTAAGGTATCTTAACTTTTTTGACAGTCGAGCCAAACGAAAGATCCTTATATTTAGGACACTGACAATTTCGAGTTACTCTCGACACATATTAAAATAAAATTCATATTTATGAATGATGAAATTTTTATTTATTATTTGTCAGTGTACCTAATAAAAAAAGCAAATTAGGTACTTCATTTTAAAGTAGGTAATTTTTTGTAACAAAGAAGAGGACTAGATAAATTAATGCTAGTGAATATATGTCACGAATGTAATAACAATAGATAACAGCGAATTCTTTTATTATATAAGAGTGAATTGCATTACAAAGGCCAAAATAGACGGTGCTATTAAGAAGGTACTTTAATCACATAATTACTGACATAAAACTATAAACAAAAGTGTATGGTATGACAATAAGGATGGTATGACAATAAAATTCACCAGTTCAACTTGCCAAAATCAGAATAATATGCATTGCTCTGCAATTATGACATTGATGAGGACCAATGGATCATCTCCTATAATCTTAAACATAGGAATTTTCTCTGTAAGCTCTAATCTCTGATGTTTTTTTACGTTTGTCAAATGTATATAACGTAATTAAATTATAATAAAATTATTATTTATATTAAAGTATTAGTTATTTTTAAACTTAATCAATGTGCCAACGAGTAAGCGTGAAGGCCACTTTGTGAATAATTCTTGCGAGAATATTTTCACTTAGAATGTCATTGATTCCTAAGTATGTATATTTATTTTAGTCTTTAGTGTGGCTGCTTTACTGCCAGTCGCTAAAAGTGATGGTATTACACTAACATACACCAGTTCGACTTGCCAAATTTAGAATAAAATGCAATGCTCAGTGAATGTGGCATTAAGGAAGGACCTATGGATCATCTCTTATTTAATTAATTGTTAACTAATTTTCTTATTTATCTGTAAGCTCTTATCTCCGTCTATTTAGTTTAAATATGTCCTATTATATATATCAAAACAATATTTTTATTGTCCCTTTACGTGTAAAGGCCATTAACGTGACATTAGCGGAATTGTGTAAGCGCAAACATAAAATAAAGACCGACCAAACTGATGAAAATTTTAGAACTCTTGATGTGAATATTTATTTTTTCATTGTAGGTACAAGTATGGATACCTTCACTATTCGTGTTGGTGTCTACTATATTGCTGGTGGTGCCAATAATGAGTGAGCCGGTGGCGGTTGTGGCCGGTGCTCTAATGACTCTACTGGGTGTACCAGTATATTTCGCGTTCATATGGACCCGACCACAGATTATTCAAAACTTGTCTAGTAAGTACATTTATCATCAGTCTATTAATAGCTCGGGGACAGACGGACAGGATAAATGCGGGTTGGTGGGTGTTAGTGACTGCAGATTAGAAATGAACAAAATTAGTAGCTTGTTTAAATTAAGGAATAAATAGTGTAACCAAGGCACAAAAACAGTTGCATACAGAAAGAAAATAACTTCAAAAATTTTAATTAAACATTATGTTTCTATCTATATTATATCGATGATCTCGATGGCGTAGTAGTGAGCGCATTCGTAAGTAATTTCGTATATAATAAGGGGCTGGTCATAGCATAGGTGATGGAACATTTATTGTCTCGGGTTCCTTCGTGTTTCGAAAAGTTAAATCGTTAGTCTTGGTTACATCTGCAGTCGTTAACGCCCACCAATCCGCACAAGGCCCGCGTAATGGTTTATGGTCCATTCTCCCTGTTCTCCCTCATTTTTTGCATGGAGAAGCCTAGTGCCCCAGCAATAAGCACATTACATAGGTTGATGTTGTGTAATATTGAAAATGATAGCCGATATATTCTTTTTTAAATAAAATGTCTATCAAATGGCATTTCTTAAGCCGTTGTACAAAATTTTATTTTGTCGGATCTTATATTAAAACTGGTCTTCAATCTCAAGATTCGCAAAGAAAGTGTGGTGTCCAAGGTTCTTACTAATATGTGAATAAGGCATATTTTTGTACTATTCCGTTACAAGTTTATCAATTTCCTTTACAGTTAAATTCACTCATACTTGCCAAAAGTTATTTTTATCAGCTGTGGAAGACAAAGAAGATTGAACCTTATTGATTTCAAGGTAAGGTAGAAATTACCAGGATCTGAACTCGAATCATAGCAATGTTTAACTGTAGATTAATGTTTTTATTGTATTTTATGGAGTTATGTAGTATTTTGTGTAATAGATGTTTCGAATATACGAACTCATTGTTATTTTAACTAAAATGTTAATTTTTATGACATACAAAATGTTTGTTTATACAAAATTTTAACAATTCCTTATAAAAATGAGTGTTGTGTTGAAACCAAGTATGTTTTTTTTACGTTTGTCAAATGTATTTAACTTAATTAAATTATAATATAGTTATTAGTATTACTTATATTAAAGTATTACTTATTTTTAAACTTTGTCGATGTGCCGACAAGGAAGTCTGGGGGCCACTTTGTGAATAATTCTCTAATTTTCATTTAGAATGTGATTGATTTCTAAATATATGTATTTATTTAAGCTTTTTGGCTTTTGTAATATGTATTATAATTAATTTACTTTATTAGATCTGTCGACCTCACATCATAGGCCTCCTCTAGTTCATTCCGGTGGTCTCTATTTCGACTAGAACTATATTATATGCCAGTAACGAGTAGCGGTCATTTCCAGTACATACTCCCGTCAAAGAAAACGTCTTTGTCTCTTGCATCTTCCATCTTTGAGGGTACTAGTTCGTGACCGTTACTAAATTTTTCTGTACCCTCACAAGAGGATACCTGACACATCATCACATCAACAAGGCTGGATTTTAGTTACTGGTCGCCAGTCAGTCTGTACGCTTTACATACTGAGCGTACTGCGTTTGTGTTATAAATAGATCGTGATAGCTCACTTAGTATTGTATATTGGTGCACAGTGTGACTCTTTAGTACACATTAAATAAATATATAGAGTTTTAAATATTCGAGTTAATGCAGATTCCTTTAAATTGTATAAAATATTAAGAACAAAGATCTTGAATGTCCATAAAATTCCTATAAGGAAGTTCATTTTCTTATAATCATTTTTTGAGTGTCTATCAATTACTGAGTGACTCAATAATACATTACTGAGTGACTGTTTGCATCTGGTTATTATTATATAAAAAAGGATAAATGATGCAACAGAAAGTAAATAAGTGCTTTTAAAAGTGTGTTTAAATATAATGACAGTGAATAAATCGTTTTTCGGGTTTGATTGTATCTTTTTGCTGTCATTCATTGAGTGAGATATTATAAATGTTACCATTTTTTTAACTATGTCTAGTAATCTCATTCTATTATACGTAGAATCTTGTGTGTATTTTCAAACTATCTTTTTTTTTTGCTCACTAATTATAGAGTACCTGTTTTTAAGTAGTGTTGTGATGATTTTTACTGTTTGGTGTGTCGAATACTGACAATTAATTTTGTGCTTTTAACGAGTGATTTAATAATTGGAAAATACATATAAACGTTTAGTTAAATCACTTGTATATGTGAAATAGTCTATTATTGTATGTAATAGCTATAAGCGGTAAATGCTTAAGACATTCGCGGTGCCTTATTTTTGTATGTGGGGTATAAACTGTAGTTACTTGTATGTAAATAGACCAATAATTCGCAGTAGGCCTGCTTCTTCTTATTAAACGATAGCATCAGGCGGGTAAAGCAGCTGGTATTGAATAAATAAACCAAGCCTTTTCATTTAACATACCACTTGAACTAGTAGCTTAATAAATTTCGACAAAAGATATATTTTTATGATTTAATTACAAAGTATAGTTTTCGAATTATCCCTTGAAACGCTGCTACTTGCTCTAATTGTCCTAATCTCCTTTCTTATAGTGATATAAAACTTGTATTGTTTGCCATATACATATTTTGATGTACTGAGTAGCTCTCTAGTTGTGTTTAATATTTTAGTATTTACTAATGTAACTGAATAGGAGACTCTTGAAAGCGTTTATAAAACATTTAAAATGGAATTTGATTCTATATTTTAATATCTTGTTTATTTCATTCATAAATAATCGTGCATGTATTTCTGAAAAAAAAAGACTGCAATTATGACCATACTTAGAGATCAATTAATTTATATAACGTTATTGAAAGTACCGAATTTTTGTTTTAGATTCACCACCATATCTGGGTACGTAGTTATTACCTTTAAATGAAATTTTTGAGACTTGCAATTAAGGTATTTTCAGCTCAGCTTAGATGCGTGAATTGTTGAAAAAATACATGTTTTTGTACACCATTAGTGCACTTAATAAACAAGGTTTACCGTCAGAGTAAATTTACACTAAAATTGCAATTTTAGTATTAGTCCAAATTGATATTATACAGAGAATAATAACACTGCATGAGTGTATATCATGACCTATGAGTGGTCGAAATAGACTAATATTGATCTGAACTTTTTAAAAAGATATGACATTGATCAGTTAGAAACGTTACTCATACTGAAAATAATTTTTAGTTTTTGCCAATTTATTGGGGCTCGTTTTCAACTATTTTGTAACTATATTAAGTGTTTAATGTATATAAGTAGCTATTTCATTAAGGGAGCATTTGTACAGTTACTACAAATCTGATGGCTTTTAGGTCCCGGGCTACCAATTACACCAAAGTTTATTTTCCTATATTTTATTAGGCTCGGGTGTATAACATAAAATGTTTAGCTATTTGTAATCAAAAATATATCCTAATCGTTTTGACCTTATAACATAAACACAACGTATAAGGTAATTACAGTTTAAATGATTAAAATAAGATAGTAGCAAAGGAAATTTTTTTGTTGAATACAAGTCTATGCGGTCTTGACCTTTTGGTAACGAGTATCGCCGAAGTAGGTAGTCATATTTTTTATTCTTATTGGCGACACATAGAATGTTGATAATTTTCTACGAATGTAATACCAAAATATGTTCGTCAAGCAGTGCCATCCCCTAACTAGAACAGCCTCTGAATACAATTCTAGCAGTGGTCTTGGACTGGCGTCAGCGCTGCAACACCACAAACGCTCGTATTAATTTCCGGAACTACGTAATATGTAAAATAAATAAAGTACTGATTGGTCAAAAATTAATTTCAAAATACAAAAGCTCAAGACGCCAGACTAGAAGTCGCTACCAAAATAGCTTTGGTAGTTTAGATATACAATTTTCGATGTTTATAAAATAATCGTGTCGTGTATATTGGAGCTTTCATTGTATTTGTATTATTTAAACGATGTTCAATAATCACAAAGTGATATTCTTGTACAGTTTAGTATTTAAACAATGTGAGGTATCAATGTACTTATGCTTTTTATATGAATGAATTAAATAACAATGAAAAAAGAAGGAAAAGGTTTGTTATTGACACCCTCCTTATCTAACCTATGTGAAATTTTATATTATAACTCATGAATAATAATTATTCATATTATTTATCCGAGCAAAATGTAGGCAGCAAGCCTAGCTTCATAATTTTGAATTACTTATAAGCGGAAGCCAGCTACTGTGATTTGAACTTTCAAATGCAAGAAGTTACGTTGATTTTTCTCGAATATAAATATAATTTTGACACATGTTGAATAGATACCAAATTGAACATAATATTTCAAAGCGCATTTTTTATTTAGTTTTCCACAAAATTTTCTTAACGATTGTTATTAGAACCGAGATCAACGACTTATTTAAGCTGGACCTCTCCATGCTTTAATTTTTACAATTTGCTACTGCTTTAAAGATCATATTTGGTTACTTTTTATAATGTAATATCCTTTTTTACCCGACTGCGCGACGCAAAGGAGGGTAATGTGTTTATCAGTCTATGTATGTATGTTTGTTTCTATGTGGCGTTCTAGAGACCAAATGCGTAGGCCGATTTTCATGATTCTTACGTCAATCGATTCTTCTTAACCTTGCGAGTGTCACTAAACAAAAATTCACCACAGCGACAACCAGACGCCATATTGTCAAAATGAAAAAAATAAAAATCAATGAACTATGTCGAGTGGGGTGTCGTTGAATAGGTATTTTAAAATAATCTTTGGTTTCCTTTTATCATTTTTCATTTTAAATAATAGTTTAGGATATATAACGATTTAAAGTTGTTTAACAAAATACTTTGTTTTTTTTTTAGTTTTTTTTTTAATTCGTTTTCGGTCGGGTTTTTTGTATTGTAGGGCGAATGCGTTACGCACCTTCCCGATGTTTGAACGCCGACAGGGTGTGTCGATCTCTTAACTGCTTGGAGCCAATTGAAGGCTAGCCAAAAAATTGTTTGTTGTTCGTTCTAAACCGCCCGAAGTACTCTCACTTTGAGAAGGGTACTCACTTTCCTCGAATGCTTGGGGAAACGGAATGAACTGCATCAGTATAATGGAGTATCCTAGTACCCAATAGTACAAAATTGACTTTTACCACTTTAATAGCAACTACAAGAGCCTTTTATTGTTATCAGCGTTCCACTAACAAGCCATCAATAAACTGTTCATTATTTTGTTACGATTTCACTAATTGCCGTCTACAGAAGGTACTGGGTCAAAGCCTCCAATCATGTGGGCGATTGGAGCTGTGTTCTTAGCAATATGTGTTGCCGAGGTAAGAATAAATCTTATTAAATAATAATAACTAATTTTAATCTTAAGACGTTACATAACACATGTATTTACTAGAAAACTTTTATATAATTTTTGTTAAGGTAAATGTCATATGCCACTATATCTCTAAAGTTAATATTATATTCTTTAGAAAATATATGAAAACACACCTTTTAAGAACATATTGATCACGCAAAAGTGATATCAGAATTCCTAAAAATTGGCAAGCATGTTTTAAAATGTTGAGAAAGCGAAAGGCTTATAAGTACCCAAGTGAAGACCGTATCTTATGGGGCGGTCGGTTCCTTTTGCCTACCCCCAATGAGATCCGACGTGAAGATATACTAGATAAATATAAATTTTAACTTTTATGATAAAATATAATGTAGATATAATGTTAAAAAAATATACTTGTTTTATGCATCTGGAAAACTATTCATTTAATGATATATAGATGACTGACAAACCTGTTCCAAAAGCTCCTATTTTTGTGCTCTCTTCCTTGTTAAGTCAAGAGCGGATACGAGAACAAAATATAATAGTTTGCTAAAATTTAAGAATCTTAAATTTTAAACTAACTTTTACAATCAAATCAGTCACGTGCTTTTAGTTGATATCAGAAGCCATAAAACTAACCAGCATGTATGAAAAAAGTAATGAAAGTGGATACACTGTGGTGTTCGGTCCTCCCTGTCTACCCCGCAAGGGATACGGCGTGAAGATATAGATAAATAGATATGTATATATTAAAACTATGAACATAAACAATTATAACGAGAGTATAACATGTATTCTTTTGTTAACAAATCATTTGAATAGGGTTTAAGTGCGCGGCAGCACTTCAACAACAAGACGGCACACGAGTTGACACCGCCACCGGACGAGCTGGTGCCTATGCTGCCCGATGAGGGCTTCCAAGTGTCCACCGTTATCGCAGGCCTCATGCCCGATTCCTTCGGCGAGATGTTTAACTTCCTTGATGGTGACAGTTTCGGAATAGGTTCGTACCATTCGTCTAAATATATATATACTAGCTGTTTTCCCGCGACTTCGTCCGCGTAAATTGTAATTATGCTAGCCGAGTATGATGTAGCTTCCCGTAGGTGAAAGAATTTTTTAAACTGGCACGCTAGTTTCGGAGTCTTTGCATTAAAAACAAGCAAATCCTCTCCTCCTTTATAATATTAGTATAGAAATGGCAAGGGTGACTGATTCACCACCGTACAGCTCAAACTGCTGCTTATTATGGATCGATATCTCCAATCTGAAATAGTTATTGCAACTAAGTAGAGGATTACTAATGAAGAATTTTGAAAAATACAACCCCCAAGCGTTTAAACAATGGTTTAAATTGACATTTATCATCCTAGTGAGTGAAGATGCAAGCGGAAAGGTAGTTTATAAAACAGAAATACATACTAAGTGGTAGGCCGGTTTATACACTCATTTCAGTATGACCTATGACCTTAATCAAAGTTTGTTTGCATAGTGTTATTTTGAGTCTGTCAAAGACTTTGTGTTCATTAAAAAATACACAGATTGATTCTCAAAGAGATGATTTTTATATGTCCACCTTATATACCATTTTATATACATATGTCAGGTCGATTGTTGAAAAATATTGACCACGTTTTTTTTTAAATTTTTTGCGTAATCATTATAGTACGTCGATACATTGAGTTAAAATGTCAAATAAAGTAAAAAGAAACACATATCTAATCTATTATCTGACTGACGAACTAAATAGAACTTTTTTTTTGTATCCAGTCGCCCTATTATAAAACCGACCTTATATCATAAGAAAGATTCATGATAGCTTAAAAATGTCCATTTCTGAAGGAATCGTGCTCGATACATAAACGACCTACCAAAAGTGATAAAAAGTAAAAGCGTCCTCTTTGCAGACGATGTAATAAAATAAAGAAATTAATGGAATTTCGAACTAAAAAAAAAACTTTAAATGTTAATTTTATTTACAAAAAACATAATTTAGAATGTATAGACAGCTTAACATTACTGGGAATAAACATTGACACGACTATTCGTTCGAAGAGCTATTTATAAAAATTGCTTAGCAAATTTTCGAGCTTTACTTAGGGGAAGGTGGCCTTAAACGGGTAAGCTAAGCGAGAATGTAAAAAAAAAACGTCAAATTCTCATGAATCCTTAACTTAATTTACATTAATACAAAGGTTATTTATCAAAGTATAAAATAAAATATCAATTGATTTTTTTTTATGAAACATATATATTTTGTATGAAAAATACAAAAGGTCTCCAAAAACCCGTTTTGCCCGTATATTGGCCAAAAACGGGTAACCCCCTCTGGGCAAAACAGGTAAGCTTAGGGCAAAACAAGTACACTTTTTTTTCTAAACGGTTATACCTTCTTAATGACTTAACATAATATGAAAATAACAAAATAAACTATTAAATTCTATTTTCATCACAAAACTTAAGTAAAAAAAATAATTCGTTACTTAAGTTTTGTGATGAAAATAGAATAAGCTTTTATTTCTTACTTTTTAAGCAGTCTTTATGTTTGGCTTAATTTTAAGATAAGATTCGGTAATTTAATGAACCTAAATGTAATTATAGTCTCATAGAATCATTCTTTAATGTCTTATTTTGAAAATCTATATCAATTTATGAAATATAAGTTCAAAATAATAACAAACATTTAAATCAACTATATCTACTGTAACAAGTATATAGATTAATATCGAACATCGTTACTTAAGTCTTCATTCTTGATATAAATCGCAAAAATAAGAGTCTACACCTGAGTCAAAAGTACATGCTTCGTGGGCCCATTCCTGTGGCGAAACTACAGGGTGGGAAGTTGGCAAAATGCCCTTCCAGCAGGAGGCTGCTGGAAGGGCTCCAGGTCATAGGAGAATCCTTACTCCTGACATTTATTATTATAAAATTAGTAAAAAATACAGAATATCCGATGAATTTGCCACGGGCCTCCAACGGTATAGTTACGCCACTGGCCCATTCATTAAAATTACCATATGGATCCAGTCTTCCACAGGTGGACAAATATGGATTACCACAAGCAAAACAATAATACTTAATTTTTTGCTTCTTTTATTGTTTTTTTCATTAACTTTCTTTGTTTGACTAGTAGCTGATTTATTATTGCCGTTTTTCTTTTTTCCAATCGATACCTTAATTTGTTTCTTTTTATTTTCTTTCTCTCTTCTTTCATTTTTGTTGTTCTTTCATAGGTGTACTGGTTTTAACTTCAGTTTTTTTTTGGGCTTAGTGTTGGCAAAGGTCTTTTTCTGCAAGCTTAACGTGAGGAGTGAGGACGTCAGGAGAAGATACTGGACGAAGTAAAGTAGCATTCACTGGTGTAGCACACGTACCCATTTTGCCCTACCCGTTTTGCCCAAGAGTATCTTGCTTAGTTAAATAATAATAGCCCCGAAATGGATATTGATACAACAAAAGAAATTGTGGGATTCTACAGTCAGATAGAGGTATATTAAAATGTCAATAACAACAATCCAATAATTATAAACATTTTCGAGTAATTTAAAGAGACTTACCTTGCTTTTTACTAACAAAACTACCAAAAAACTTTCAATACGCACACCTGCGCTATGACGCGACTTTAGCGCCCTAGCGGAACTGTTTGAAGATATTCGGTTGGTGACATCTCTCGGCACACATACACATCAACACTCAAGTATGACGTAGAAGCGTACAACTACCTACCCGTTTTAGGCGGGCCACCCGTTTTAGGCTAGTTTCCCCTACGCACTTAATCAGTTAAACAGATCCACTGAATTGAAAAGAGCAATGATTGCGTACTATGCCTAAGCACATTCACGAATAAATAAAGGGATAGTTTTATGGGGAATAAGCAGCATTGACATAATGTAGATGATATGGAAAATTGTAGGTCACACTTCATAGAACTAAACATTTCTAAGATAAGTTTGTGTTGTCTTCTATGAAAAATATTATTTTCCTATGTAATCCAGGACCTATGCATGAATTTGTGTACGGGTGGCAAGCGATAGTGAACACAATGAGTATGAAAAATAACGTCGAAGTTCGCAAGCGTGCTGGCCTACAACGTTTTGCTCTAGCGGGCATAAACGGCATAACGTTGATATCTCACATTGGTGTTACGGAAATTATGATCAACGGTACGAGAACATACTGCTTTGGTGGCGTCTCTAGACCTCCGGGCAGGAGGAGCGTGATATGTAAGGTAAGTTTAATCGTGAGGTGGCTTTCGCAGCCATCTCAATCTCGAGTGCTGAATACTATTAGTTTCGTGTCCGAGTGGCTTTTAGGTCGTGTGGTTATCGACGTTTATTTTATTTTAAACTGGGTAGGGTTTAAAATGAAATAAATTAAAAATAACGTCTACGCGCTAAGGTTTCATATCAAGTGCAGAAAATTTACAGATTTGATTTGTCGTGCTGTGTACAGTATGACAGTACGGTAGGGACAGTATGATTTTAGTTTGAAAATATATTTTCTCGTATATTATACTCCGAGGTAAACGCAATATCAAGTTCCTGTTGTGGTTGGAAAAAGTAGTCGATCCGGTCCTATTGCCACCCCGGACCTCCGTTTAGGTAAGTCCGCCACTGGTAACGATACCATAGATAATGTAATTTAATTACTGACGATTTAGCGATACTATTGAACGATAGCAATTGTTGCAACCTCTTATACATTTTCAGGGTGCGATGTATCAAGAAGGTAGATTCACATGTAAAGTGCCTTACCTCAGATATCCGACCGTACTCGGTTATAGATATTGCATCAATAAATATGCAGCTGTTGCTACAATGGACGGCACATATAAAAGTATGTCTGTATTTGTAATATTAGTTTATTTCAGTTTATCGATATTCATTATAAAAATACTAGTTACCTCGGTGGCGTGGTGGATAAACGCCGCGACCAGCGATCTTTGCTGCTAAGCAACTTTCGCAGGGGTCGATCACGGGAGGGGTGACCAAAAAATATTATCTCGAACTACTCTGTGCTTCAGCAGGTACGTTAAGCCGTTGGTTCCGGCTTCATTTGCAGTCGTTTCAATATTCTCCAATCCACGTTAGGCTAGCATGAAGGGTCAAAGCCTATCCTCCTTAACCATCCATAAGGAAGGCCTGAGCCCCCGAGGACGTAAAAGAGCTGATGAAGATGATGACGATTAGTATAAAAGTCATTTTCAGCTGTCTGTACGCTGCGACCTTTTGCTGATGATACTCGAGGGCAAATTATATTTCACCAAAATCGATTTTTATTAGTATATTATTACAGCAACGTATTGCGCTCGAGGTGAATCTATTCCCAAGTTCCATTACGACTACATCTGCGAGAGAAGGGACATTAAGATAAAGAGAATCAACTTGACTGATCCCAATGAAAGGTTCAACATTCGTAACCCGGTCGTGCGCAGAGCGGAATATTACAGAGCGCCATATGACATATTGAAAGCCTGCCCGGATTGGTGAGATTTACATTTAATATGCACAAATTTATTATTTATTTTATATAGGAAATTAATTAATATTGTCCATTGAATTCAAAGGGAAATAAAAAATGAATACGTGATATCAAAGGCTTTTTCGTATAAATACGAATATAAATATAAATTACGTCACATTTTGGGGACGGCGAGTCAACGAAGTGTAACGTTAGAACAATATATTATAGAATTTGTATTGACAAATTTGTTTTGAAAAATTGGAGGGTGTTAAAAATTGTGAATTTCGTGCTACACAAACAAGCCAACAATAAAATATATACAATATCCAATTACATTTTGAGATAGTATTAAATATATTTTATGCTCTAATCATTAGAGCATAAAATAATGACATATTCATTACATTAGAGTCTAATGTAATGAATATGTCATTATTACTCACACCGTAATATGTTTTTATTTATATATTATTTATAGGTACGGATGCAATCTTCAAATATCTCCCGAGTTACTGCACCAAGAGTTGCCAGCCGCTCTAATGGACGCCAATGAAACAGCATTCGTGGGCCACGGTGGGAAATATTGGCTAGCCCTTTATTACACCCAGGTAAAATATTAACATACCATACAAGAATATATTTAAATATTTTCTATACGGAAAAACTTACATCAATATTGTAAGACAGATATAATTCTTAAATATTTTCCATTTCGTTTGATTCTTATTCTTAATTTTGTTTCAGCTGTCAACTTATGCCATTTATTTCCAAGCCCACGGTGAATATCCCTGGCAATCCAACAGGCCCATTGTGTCCGTTGATAAAGGTACAGTAACAAAACACTATGATTCTATGATATTTTTGTGATCTCAATTAATTTTTCATCATTATCATCATCAACCTATTAAATTACCATCGCTGGTGTATGTATTCTTATTCTGTCCATTTGAGGGAATTAAATAGACAGAACATGCTATAACTCACTACGCGGGCCCAGTGAGGATTGCTGGATGTTAATGACTAAGATGGAGCCTAGAACAAAGGCTTAAGGTCCTTTCCGAAACAAGAAAGTGCTCGTGATGATAAATAAAATGGCTAAATCCTACAACCGCCTTTGCGAGCTGTTTGACCTCTACATTGCATCGCTAACAATTGCACCAACGCATTAATAGCCAATGACGATGACTTAGTACATATATTTGATCGTATATATTTTACAGGTGGCATTTGGGAACAGCTTCTGAAGGCCAATATTGGTCCCGACATGAATTTGCACTATAATTTGAATGGTATCTACAACAGATACCCTGGATCCGCGCCTGTCGCGCCAGACCTATTGAGAAATGACGGACAAGTAAGTAATATCTGACCGTTGGAATAGTTGGAATCAAAATCAAGAGGAAATATGGGAATATCTGAATAATGAAGCTATATATTTTTCTTTCTAAAAATAACATTAATATTTGCTTTGGTGTCGTGTATTGTTCATAATATTGTCGAACGAAGCAACACATGACTAGCAGAGTAAATGTACTTGTGGATGACAAGTACATATGTCATTCAAAATAATAGTCGAAACGGTACAGATAGACTGTTTAGAATCGATGACCACAAACGTATATATTAAAGGGCCTATGGTTCAAGTATTAGATTCTTATTTATCTGAAACGAAATATGTAAAGCTTCTAACTGACTTGTCGTTGTCTACAACTACTAACTCACATAGCACACACTTTTATAAAAATATTACATACTAGGTAGCAAGCGTTGGACAGAGGCTTTATGTTTGGATGTTTGAATATTAATAAGGTTTTATTTTCAAAGTATATTTCTTTTTGTTTGATGATCTGTTAACGAGTGTCAGCGAATGGTTAGAAGAAGCTTGACTTAAAGTGAGGCCTCTACTGGGGTGTCTACTCTACACGACAATAGAGATGATGACAAATTTTTGTTTGTTTATCCATCAGGTAGATTATTGAAGAATATTTAACATGTATTTTTTGCACAATCATTAAAATACGATATATTGAGTTGAAATGTCGCATGACGTCACACTTATGTATATTTTCTACAAAACGTGACGTAGCGAGCCCCCATTGCCTAACTTTAAAACCTAAAATCTAAGCAATTTCTTGTTTAAATTGAAGCAAAAAGAATACGTAACTTATATTTTTTATTATCTGACTAATGGATTAAGTATAAGTAACATTTCTTTCTTTTTACCCAGTCATCATCCCTTTTATCGTTCGCACGTCTGCGTATAAATTATTTATGAAACAAGGAAAAACCGTCTAACTTTACGGTGAAAATCCGACAAATTGGCTAATATTACTGATATATTACCATCATAATTAACATTTTGTTAAAATTGTTCATCTCATTTTAGGTACAGCCAGCTAACTTCCGAACGGACACTCGAGACTCGGCTCCTGAAGACATTTTAATTGGAAATGTCCATGTTCCGGATGCTGCAGGTAATTTAATGTGTAGTGTATGTGTTTAAATTAATGTGTGTGCAATGGCCGAGGAAACTTCAGGACTTCAGCATATCTATCACATAACCACATTGCCTTCGAATTGGTTGACATTGGATTCAATCCAAATGTATAGTAGATGGTTAAGTGTGATTGATTCAACTCGATATAATTAACGTATTCGCTCTATCTCATAATACAGTATTGAATATTTATTGAATCCAATATCAACCAAATCGACGCCAATTTATGCGTATAAGAATAAGGAATTTTTACCGTTCTGATTGCCTCCCTTTGGTAAAAAACTTTTAGACCTTAGACTTAGAATCGTAACACATAGTCGTTGGCGTGTAAATATAGTGAAGTAGTTAAGGTGACTACACTACCTGGCTAACATTGAAAGTGGCTCCTACAATTTTATAAAAAGGCAGTGTCAGTAACAAAGACAAAGCTCCGATTCTAAGACGAGTAGCTAAAGCCTAAAGATATTATGGATTATCAGAGACAACGATGGTATCACAACCAGCTTTGGGCCCAGTGGGCACGCGCCCTGAGCCCCTTGGGCACGCGCCCAGGGCCCCGTGATCTATATGGGCTCCCTAATCCCTACTTGATTACCAAACCACAGTTAACATATGACCATTTGACCAACATTCTTATCTACTTAATATTAATCTTTATCTATATATATAAAAATGAATCGCAAAATGTGTTGGTAAGCGCATAACTCAACAACGCTTCGACCAATTTGGCCAAATCTTTTTTTAAAATGTTCGTTGAAGTTCAAGGATGGTTTTTACGGCGAGAAAAATTAGAATTATTGCTGGAAAAACCCTAAAAATAGCCCTTTTCTTTTTCCCATACAAATGATTTGTAACTAAAACGTAGTCAATTTGAGCTTTATTGCTATGGTATAAAGTTCATATTAAATTACAAGCACTCACTGTTGTCTAAGCAATGTAGGTGTGTTCCTAACGTCAAAGATCATATCTATCAAAACAATGTGCGTGTGTGCGTTGGAGCACAGAATACATAGTTGGAGGAGTTTCGACAGACTTCGTCCTGTCAAAAAGATTTGTAATGTGGCAGTTTTTTTGCCTACGTATTTAAAAAAATTCTCCTGAACAGAACCGTCACCCTGGTGATAGGGCGTTGTGAATAAAAAATAATTAAATAAAACATATATAAGGATTTAAAAGTAAGTAATCGCTTTATTGTTAATCATGTGAATCATAATTATTATTGCAATGTATTAATAGTAATAGTATTAAATATAGAAAAAAGAGATTTTTATGATCATAAAAACACATTACACACAACAGCATTATAAAAGTAAACTATTCGAATTAAAAAAATATATAAACATTCTCAAGGAAAAATGCTGGAAGAATCCATCTACCTGTACCCCGGAATGGGACTCGAACCCATTCGCGATCCAGGGACTGCTCTAACCAATGAGCTATCTAGGACCCAACAGCTTTGCTACTACAGAGCGTATTTTCATCAATGTTCCGGCAATACATGTAATGACGTGGAAACTGATGCATTTTATCTCGCGTGCCGAAACTAATACAAAAGAAACGCGAGTTTCGGAACGCGACATTAAACTCCTCCAACTATGTATTCTGTGCTCCAACGCACACACGCACATTGTTTTGATAGATATGATCTTTGACGTTAGGAACACACCTACATTGCTTAGACAACAGTGAGTGCTTGTAATTTAATATGAACTTTATACCATAGCAATAAAGCTCAAATTGACTACGTTTTAGTTACAAATCATTTGTATGGGAAAAAGAAAAGGGCTATTTTTAGGGTTTTTCCAGCAATAATTCTAATTTTTCTCGCCGTAAAAACCATCCTTGAACTTCAACGAACATTTTAAAAAAAAGATTTGGCCAAATTGGTCGAGGCGTTGTTGAGTTATGCGCTTACCAACACATTTTGCGATTCATTTTTATATATATAGATATTCGTTCTAGGCTCCTTGAAATAATTTTGCCTCTAAAGTTTGCCATACTTTCATCAATTTTTTTAAATTTCTTTGATGCTCGGCCAAAAAATAATAAAAAAATACTTTTATGCACGTGTGCAGTAAAGGATTTCAGTACATTTTTTTTAACACGTGTTTAAAGACTCACTTTCGATGTTTACAATGGATTAAAAAAAATAGGAGCAACTGCATTGAAAATTAATTTATAAACTTGAAAGCAAACCGGAAGGGTTGTCATGGAGAAATCAAGAAAGTACCGTAGCGTAGCGTCATCTAGTTTGATTTGGGGAACTAATTTTTTTTTTAATACCTCCTCATTGACGTACTTCTGACCAAGACTTGCAAAAGTATTTTCTTCGTCGTCTTCTAAATTAGATTGCCAAAATATGGTAATTAATTGATTGTCTTTTAGAGCTGTCAATAAGAGATTTTTAGCCCGGTCTAGAACTGGAAAGAAACAAAACTGGTAGAAAATATGTTTTTTTTTTACCAGAATACGCTAACATTGACCGTTTAGAACATGCTGATGGCCAAATATTAATAAAAATTAATTAAAAATATAAATGTCCAGAGTAGTTACTAGTATTAATACAAAAAATTTCACCAAAAAATATATTGATATTGACAAAATGAGAAAAATATGTAATAGTGTTTACATGAAATACATTTCTTTATCTGTAAAAAAAGAAAAGTAATCTAAACGAGAATCACCAAGAGTACAAAGATATAAATAAATTAAACTAGCCTCTCTCATAGCATTTAACAATGCCACGATATATTTTGACAGAAAACCGAGAAAACTGGTCTCCACACTAATGAAAGCAGTGTTGCCATAACGTAAACCATATTCAGCGACCAAACGTCAGTGTATACATGCGTGGGCGCGAAATTTAAGATGATCGAAAATATTTTATTCCTGTAGTTATTAGCACAATGGGTCTTAAGATCAAGTCGACGGGGCCGTCACTGCAAAGTCTATTCTATTTTGTTCTAGCATTAGTACCTTGAACCTCAAGACGTAAAAGTAAGCATATTTCATTACATTGTTGATATTTAACTTCACAGGTGAACCGGGATCTGGCGGATACAAATTCATTCATGACTCACAAATACAAGCAAACTTCGAGCACGGGAAGAATTATTGATGTTGTATTCACTGTTATAATAAAAATAATATTATTGTAAATTTTATTTTTATTCAGATAAGCCTTTATAAAAATCTATTACACTAATATATGTAATTTATTAGTGTAATAGATATATTAAAATAATTAAAGTTATTTTAAAATGTGAGAAACAATACTTAAAGGTATTATTTCAAATATTAGATATATATATTGTTAGTAAGAATTGTTGCCACAGCTCGCTCTTGCAAAGTGGTAAACTGCTTCCATCAAAATTGCGGACTTTAATAATCTAAACTTATATGTATAAACGAACCGCTGAAATCTGTCATCATTGACCTTTATGCATTTCTTCAAATTATACATTTCACATGTACATTTTTGGATAATATTGTAGATTTCTTTCATTCTATGCTTTGTTAAATTATGGTCACCAAAAGAGCTGCAAAAGCTTCTTGATAACTAGTTTTTTATGAGAGAAAGCGGCCTGAATTATTCAATAGAGGGGGGGGGGGTTTCATCTTGATAACGCTATAGACCTCACATATCTTTTGCCACTCAGCAAAAATAAGAGTTTGTCTGTCCTGAACTTGCACCATCAGATTTCTACCTGTTTTGGTCTTTTCAGAATTCTTTAGGCAGTGTCAGGTTCACATCATTCCATTATTGCTGCTGGAAGCTATGATGTAGCATTAGGATTGGTGGTATTTTTTGCAGCGAGTTTGTGGTAGCTTGATTCAGTAAAGTGTTATCTAAGCCTGAAAATAAACTGTTGTGTTACCAGAAGAGAATTTCAAGCTCTAGTAAAAACATTGCAGCATTTTAAAAAATATATACTGGGACGAAAATTTCATCTTCGAACTCATCATGGTGCGTTGAAGTGGCTAGTTTGGGAATTCAGAGGGACAGGCGGCCAGACGTATTAAGTTATTACAAGAGTTTGATTTCGTTATAAAAAATCGCAGTGGCCAGTCCCATGGAAACGCTGATGCACTTTCAAACACTGCACCAGGCTAGAAGCAAAGGAGACAATGCCCTTAAAACCTTAAGCAACCGCTAACGGCGCATTTCAGTGAGGACTGAAGGCATTCCCTGTTGAAGATGATACCGATTTACGGTTAATCGTCGAATGGTTCAAGGCTGGTGGAGTGAGGTGGCTGCATTGGGATAGCCTGGTTATGCAATACGGGATACTGTGCTGTTAATGAGAAAATGCCCAGGGAAATAATTGTTACATTTAGATTATTGCTTGTGTGTGATTCTTGAATCAAGATACCAGATGACCTCAAGTTATACCACCATGGATGTTCTGGAGGTCAAATAGGAGTAAAAGGGATTCTGCTGAAGATCAGAAAGAGATTCTACTTGATTCTCTGCCGAGATGACACGGAGGATTGGTGTCATAAATATACTAGTGGTGCGGCTATCACACTGGTAATAGAATAAAGGATCTCACACCCGTAATAGGGGTGCACAAGTGGTTTATAATATTGGAGTAACGTAGGAACGGATAGCGTTGGGTGTGGCAAGGCCGTTTCTGAAAGACGAAGTGGAAACAAGTAGTTTCTCGCCGTTAAGGACTACTTTACGAAATGGCGATTTGCGTTTTGGCGATCCCCAGTCAAGAATCATTAACAGTCGCTAAGAAACTGGTTTACCTAGTATTCTGTCCATTGGAAATACACAGTAAACAAGGAAGGAATTTTGAGTCACAAATCTTCCAAGAAACATACCATGATGAGTGCTCATAAAACCAGAACCACCTCATATCACCCACAGTCCGATAGGATGTTGGAACATTTCAATCAAACCTCAGAGCGTCGTCTGGCTAAAGTAGTACTTTCGTATCGGAGTGCTGTATATGAAAGCACCAAGTATTAACAATCATTATGTAAAAATACAATGCCGTTTTTCAAACATTCGGCATGGGTCAGGCTCGTGGATATTGGTGCATTACCCAATGGCGTGATTCTTGTGAGACATTTGCCTCGTTTCCTTCTGCTCAGGTACATTAGTTAACCACACCAGTCATACCTCTAAGGTAAATTAAGATCTTCGAGATACAACTGATGATTTATCAGTGAAACAAAAAAAAACTTTTTTATAGGCTTTCCTTGCAATTCGATATTGATGAGGGATGGCATTTCTTCAGTTTTGGAAATCTGTATTAATGAATACTTTGCTATGACCACGCAAACCATTATCCACATTTTAAAAGAATTCAAGATAAACATAGTTGTTAAATTTACAAAGTTGTTGTTTTTATCTTAATCGTGAAAAACTTCCACTACAATTTATTCTGAAATACATAATCGCAACAACTTTCACTTTTTTAACTTTTGGAATGTACAAAATATTAATTAAAAATACTAATTACTAGTCATTGCCATGACACTTCAAAAGGATGCTAGTAGAAAATGTGTGAACAAATTGCCTTGATAATAATTAGTACTATTTTTTTGGGATAATTTCATATTAACGAAATTAATGTGATTATATAATAACTTAGAATTTTTAAAGTTACCATTGAAATACAAATGGTTAATTTAATTTTAATTGAACGATATTTTTTTATAATGGCAAGATGAAAGAAGGAGACAGACGGCCTCCGTTGTGACTATCATTCTTGGCTCGGATTAGCTTCTGTACAAAGAGCCATTAAACGTATACTTTAATTTATAGTGAAAAGGTTCATTTTTGTAATTACAATTATGCGTAGTTATAAGTCCTGTTGAAGGTACTAAGTCCATGATAATTCCTGGAACAAAGACTAAAGTATAATATTCCTCATTCTATTAGAGAGTACTAATAGTACATAATGAGGAAGTATTAAAAAAAAAGTTAGTTCCCGAAATCTAACTAGATGTCGCCACGGTACTTTCTTGATTTCTCCATGACAACCTTTCTGGTTTTCTTTCATATTAAAAAGTTAATTAGTATCAAAACTTAATAAACAACTCATATTCTATTTATACTTTTTCGTATTTGTATTGATATATAAGTTTCCAACTTTTCAAATTTCAGTTTTTTTAATATGTTAGTTAATAGGAACGGAGATGACTGTCTTTGGTCCATTCGTCTCCTGCAAAAATCAACTTTTGCTAGAGTCGCCATCTAGTTGAGGTGCTTTTTAGTGCTGTAGTTTTTTTTAATACTTCCTCATAAAAAATTGGATGTGTGGTCAATAAAAAAAAATCTTTTCAAAATTTAGATATAAAAAGAAAGACAAAAAGCGAACAAAAAGCTTTAAAAAACAATATTTTGAAATTCAATTTACTTTTATTACATAGATATTGAACCACCTGGCGACTTCTATTTGGTTCTAAGAATTACTTTTTCTGCATTTTTTATGTTATTTCATCTAGATTTTATTCATATTATGATAAAAGATATTCTATTTTCGAATATTAGTTTTGTCTAATCATTAAAACATAACTAAATTATTATTATATTTAGTTTTATTCTTTATATATTATCCTATTTATTATTATTCTTATTGATAGACCATTTAAAACATAATTTGGCTAATGACGGTTTGTGATTATTGCTCAAAGCCTAAAAAGAAATGTAAAAAATATACCCTTTGCTCTTTGCTGCGTTTATTATCTGTGCTTACGTCTGACATCTTTCTTTGTGCAATTTCTGTTGGGTCGCTCGTGAAATATCCCGTTATTTCCCTTTCGTAACTTCTTCTAACAAAGGCATTATCTATTTGTGACGGTCGGTCGTGGTTATTAGAGCAAGAGTTAAAAATCCGCAAACGCTAGGTTCAGTGACACTGCCACGAAAGAATTTATTTTAATCGTTTCTTTATTATCGATTTTAGACTTCGTGTGAAAAATATATGTATAAATGAAGTTCGTTTATTAGTAAGAACGAGTGTTTGGCATACAAGCAGCAAGATTTTTGTGTCACGGTCCAAACCAAGGTGTGTATTGTCAATTTTTACTGTGTCGCGGAGTGTCCAACTTGGCTAAAAGGTGCCTCTTTGTGACGTAAATACTTCGATATTTCTGCTTCTTACTGCTCGATGATCTGTTTTCGTACGCTATCTATCAGAAGCTCTCTTCATCGTATCTATTTATAACATGTGTAATTATTTTTGTTACTAACTTGATGAAAGCTACCTACCAGTAATGATAAAGATGTCACTCATCAACATACATCAATTTTTTAAGTGATTACAGAAAGTACCTTTCTTTACTGATGCTCTGATGAACAAGACATATGTATATAGAACAGTAATGATAATTTAATATTAATCTAAAAATATACCACAACATCACCCTGCATAGTTAAGAAATTTAACTATAACAAAATACCTGTTTTACATCATTGAGTCATCAATTTCAAAACTAAACTGATAAAAACTAATTTACAATTTATGTTGACATCATTTTATCAATAATAATTAATATTCTTTATTAACCTTCTACTTCTAACTTGAAATTACTGTTTGTTGGTACTTTTGTGAATATTTGTATTCACATATTACACATAATCCTCTCACTAAGAGGTATTAGTAAAATTAAAGCTTTTACTGGTGTTTTTTTTATAATGTTTAATATTTATTAGATTTTATTAACCACAGTCATAAGTATTTCATCTAATCATATGAACACAGTTTTCTTTTTCTATTAAGCATTTTTGCAAAGTAGAAATTGAAATGCATTATCTTATAGACAACTACTTTCTTATTATGCACTGAAGGAGCAAAAGGGTTCAATGTTCCTTTAATTAAGTTTAGACAAGCACAATTTAATAAATGAAATATGTAGAAAATATGTACACTTTAATAAACAAGATAACATGGCTATAATTGACAAAAGTGTGTAATACATTTTATTATAGAAATCAGAAACATCAACTGTTTTGTGTTTTTAACAGTAACAATAACAATTACTTAAAATAATAGTCTATTTAAAGTCATGTCTGTTGTTAAATATAATAGTTAAGTTTGTTACAATTGATTTTAGTAGGGAGTACAAATAAAAAAAATAAAAAAAATCCAATCTGTGGAGAATCTGTATGGGAGTCTGTAGAGTTAAAGATGCATTAAGAATCTGGGACAGTGGAAGACAACTCTATACTAATATCAACTATCATTTTGTTAGTTGTAAAGAACACCTATTGTTCATAAGGACCAGCATCAGCCTATTGATCTCCCCATCATTGAGGCACAGGCCTATGACCGAGCATGCAGCCCTAGTGCAAATTAGTAGATGATAATGACTGCAGATGCAGCTGGGATTTTTATTAAAAATGCTTCAAGTTTTATGATCTGCTTATCGCTTTCTGTATTAAGGTAGGGGGGTCCCTTTATATTGTGCTTGATTGCTGTCAGATCTTGAACAAAAACGTTATTGAAATGTTGAACTATACCTTAATAGCTATCCAACAATTACATTATAAGGAATCACCTATGTTTACTTTGTTTTTTACAATCTTGTATTTATTCTTTTAACATAATTAGTCTGCATGTATAATAAACTGATTGAGTCATTATTCAGACTGTTTTATTGATGAACTGTGAACTAGGTAAACAAGTATTACAACAGTGATATTTATAACCTCTGGGGCTAGAGATGAAAATATGAAAAAATACAATGAACAAAATTTCATATTTTTAAAGAGCCACTTTAGAAAACACAGTATTTTAAATAACTTGAGATATTATTTAAAAGAAACAACTAAATATCTTTCATGCAGGCATAGTCAGTATATCTTAATCAACTATGGATCTACTATACAATTGAAATGGTTTTGATTGTAATATATATTTTTTCTAAATGGAATTTAAGAGCTGCAATTTTACATTTAAAGAGCCACTTGTTGCTCGCAAGCCATATAAAGCTCATTAAAAATTTAAAATCCCACCGTTGATGTCTTACATTTGTTCTCAGAGTGAGCCGTGTCTTGGGGGAAAAGCACCCCGGGCGCTACGGTGGCCCCAGATACACCGGCGCCAGCGCCCCAGCCTCCGGGTGAGTGCAAATTTTTTTTTAATTTCATTATTATTTTTTTAATTCTTACATGTTTGATCTACTATTAGGAATCATTATCATATATCATAATATGTACAACCATAACCAATCATAATAAAAAAACCGTACATACTATATCACACGTCAGACACTTGTTTATTAAATATCGGATTTTTGAAACTGAAAGGATTTACATGTTACAGGTGAGGTGAGTTTTTTAAATTAATAATAACTTTTAAAGGTATGACAATGAAATTTGTGCATTATTTTTGAGCTTTTGCAAAAAGACAGGAATTAATAGATTGAATATTTCAAATTAACTTTAGCCCTATTTAATTTCGTTTAAATTCATTATTTTTTACTCATTTTTTCCATGGATTAATTTACATTTTTATCTAATTGTAAATATTTTATTGTAAAAGTTATTCTTAGTTAAAAAGTAGCGTGTAAAAATATAAATAATAGTTGGCTGACTAGACCCATTAAAACCGGAGTAATATCTTATTGAATGTTAGTTCTTATTTTTCGAACGCTAACGTTGATTAATTTTCTCATTGCATTATTTTTATTAGTATTACGGTAATAATAATAATGACATATCTTTTTAAAATCCTCGTAATGAGCTCTTTAATTTAATACCCAATATTGTAGTATTTGAAATAAAACTTTTCATAAAGTATAATGTTTATTTAACGTCCCCTTAGAAAATCTGACGCGCTCGACATAATTTTGTTTTCATTTTCAGCCTTTACATACGACCATCCAATCATGAAAGCAATCAGATTAACATCCGTACATCTTTTTAAATGCGTAGGACATGGAAGATATCAGTATCTGACGCGCTCGATTATGTCCAAGCAACAGTTATTTTACATTTTTTTTTATCTTTAGCCGCTCCCCTCACAAATGAAAGGGTTTATATTATATGTCATTTTTTTCATCATCTCAACCTCGCAAACCAAAATGTCTCTATGACGCTCGAGTAAAATCCCGATTTAGCATCGTAGACTCCCCTACTATTATATTATTAGTAAGAATTGAAGTACAGATAAGTCGTCAATTTTAAATTCAAACAATTACTATTTTAAAATAGATTAGAGAAATAAGACAGTATTAAATAACATGATAAACTGCTAATTGTACGAAAATATCAATCTGATATCACCCCTCGAACATAATACCTATATTGATGTGAATTGTGTTTGTTTGACTGAATGAAATTGCACAACATTAAGATTATTCATAAATTATGACGACATTAAATCGTGCCATATGCCAATACACACCTCGACTCTAAATTACGCAGACATTGGTTGTTTTTGTGTTTATAATTAATTGATAATCACGGAAACAAACGTTGCAATCTACTATGTCCACTCCACGGGAGCATGCCAACAAGCGTTTCTTATTCCTTACTCGTTCCAGACTCTAGGAAGAATCGTCCCATTTAAAAGGAATGTTTCTATTTGGTACGTTTCTATTACGGTCATGATATATAATACGATGTAGGCGACATTGGTAATTTCAATATATTATGTGCACCAAAGAAATGGAATTGATTTTGTTGAAAACGAATTTATCTTTTAAAATATTTAAGCAACTCAACGAGGAATACGTATTTCATTCATTTTATAATAACTGCAACTAAACCGTTTCTTTAACAGAACTCTTGTGTTTGTCTCATTTCATCATCAGCTTTATGAATACTCTTAAGTGAACAGCTACAAACATCTCCTCACAAATATACACTATATCTCAAAGGCTTTTAATTGTTGAACTAAAAACTAAATAATAAATTTATAGCCTTGTTATTAATTTTTGTACGGCCCTATAACATTTAAACAATGAGGTTGTATGTTTGCGTTATGTACCCATGACCGCGACCTACATTTACTCTATGGTCAAACATCGAGAATATATCTATTGATGGACATTAGTATCAGTACATAATCATTTATTGAAATTTTCCGAGTTAACCGAGATATTATGAACTAGCTGTTTCCCCTTAGAATTCGCACATGTAAATAGCCTCTGTCCTCCACATATGATGTAGCTTCCCGTAGGTGAAATCAATTTTAAAAGCAAGTAGTTTCGGGGAACTATTCAACGCAAACAATCATAACTTTTCTCTTTATAATGTTAAACTACAATTACTCACAAGAGAATCCTCTAAAGACATCGCAAATAGTATATTTATATAGATAAATAATTTTGTGTGCTTTAAAATTAACCTTTAGTTACTAACTTATGAAAGAAAGTTTTAATAAATGCTGATTGGTGATTCTAACAGGTTTAGCTTCGCCGAGCGTAAACTATTGAAGTTGAACCCATGATGTTTAGTCAGTAGAGTTATTTTGTAGACCAATACCCAGTAAAAAAAAAACTTGTTTATTTCAATATTTAAACTGTACCTAAATAGATTTTTGAGAGCACGATATTTTAAACCAAACTGTAGATATTTTAACATAAACTCGCTCTCTTCCAAAATAGTATTTATTACCTTTTCTAACGAAATATTGATATGGTAGGTACTCATTATTCGTTGCGTAACCATAATTTTCGTAATATATTAGATATTACGCTTTATGGTTTTATAATTCTGCGTATCATACTAGTTCTAATCATTATGTCAACAAAGATGTAGTACGTCGTGCCTCATAACATAGTGTATTAGAAACATCATGTGTTTTGTTTAAAAATCATACAGCTTAAATTCGGAAGGATAAAACCGAAGTAGTCTAGACCTATCTATCTTCTCTTGTCATTGATTTTGTCAGTGAATTTTTAATAGAATAATTTTCGTATAGTTTAGATTTAACATCAAGCCAAGCATGACAAATTTAACAAGGTTAAAGTTCAATGAACATAACCAGTGAAATGATGCATGGATCTTGATGTCACTTGGCAGTGTTGCCAACACTAGGTTCACTCAGAAAAGGAGCTAAACATAAAAATATATACTTCTGCATATTTTTTTTAATTATACATAGTTCGAAGTCGAGAAATTTTATAATATTACAAACTAGACAAAAAATCATTAACAAAATTATTATAAACTAGTTGTTTTATTTAAATTGCAGCTCCTCGTAGGTGAAAGAATTTTTAAATCAATCTAGTAGTATTACAGCTTATTGAATGCAAACTAACAAACAAATAAATCTTTCTTCTTAAAAATATTACTATTATATCAAACTATCAGGATTCCTTTACATTTGGTATTGATAGTATTATTATATCTAGGTATTATATAGATACATTTTTTTTTGTCTCGGCTGCAAACAAATTAGTAGTGTATCGGACTTATCTTACGTGACACTTGAATCTTCCATTTGACGACATGAAAAACCAAATAAAAGCATTTAATGTAAAATGTGCTTTATGCTTATTTAGAAATATCTGATTCGTTGACATTGCATAAGCCACTTGTGACAGGTTGCCTGCTTTCGTTTGAATAAAGGGAAATAGCAAATCAAAATAATAATAATCCATTAGAATTAGCATTAAAGGAGTGACGCATTCAGTTTTTCCCTTTCCTTACCAGGCCAGCATGAAGGTATTGTAGGTATATTTCGATATTTATAACTTAGTCACAGCTCATCACAAAAATAACAAACTTTCACTGTGTATTGTATTTAGGTTAAATTTCCTTGTAGGTCATTAAGTGGTTGCAAAATTTTCGAACTTCGATCATAAAATATGCATTAGTATTTGTTTTAGTAGCTCGGTGGCGTAGTGGATAAGCGCCGCGGCCCGCGATCGTTGTCGTTAAGCAACTTTCACAAGGGTCGGTCACGGGATGGGTGACCAAAAAATTATTATCTCGAGCTACTCCGTGCTTCGGAAGGCACGTTAAGCCGTTGGTCCCGGCTGCATTTGCAGTCGTTAATACCCTCCAATCCGCATTGGGCCAGCGTGGAGGGTTATGGCCCATCCTCCTTAACCATCCATAAGGAAGGCCTGAGCCCCTGCAGTGGGGACGTAAAAGGGCTGATGATGATGAGTATTTGTTTTCATTTGGCAAGTTTTTGGGTAACTGCGGAAAAATAGGGTCCTAACTGTTTCCTATCCTAACTGTAGGCGGCAAAAATTATGTCAGAATATTGAATCCACTACTAAAATGCTGATAGTGTTTTTATCGACTCGTTGTTTTACCTGGTAGTGATCGATAAGGTGTTTTGTCCTTAGTTATCTATCTATCCCTGATATACTATCGTATGACTGCTGACCGGGAATATCGAAATGTCTATTGTATCTGATAAGTGTTTGTAATATTGACTAACTCTGCGAAAAGATAATGATTTTGCCATTGAATGAATGGTCATGGTATGTCAATATTTTATCAGTAGGTATTTTATATCTGATAAAAGATCATTAATGCGGAATCACCGACACTGTCGTTTTTATTCAAGTCTTGCATATTCTACCATTTTATAATGTCTCATCACGCTGGCATATGGCAATCATAATGGCCAGCATAATAAGTAAGATGTGTGGAGGATTCAAGAGATGGTCATTCATTTTACGAATTCATTTTAATTTATTCTTAATTGTAGATATTTTTAGTGTCAGTTTGCAGATTTTTTAAACGTTTCCATTAAACTGTGCTATATTACGCCGATACGGTCTATTATACCTATTTTACCGGGTCAATCGTAACCCGTATTTTATATCTCCACGAAAACCAAATTTTTTGGAGGTATTTTAATTCGTCTCATCGTAATAGACAAATGATAAAAGTACAGTGCTTAACAAACCAGTGTGTACCTCAAAGAACAATTAAAAAAATGCTTTTATTAAATTTAATAGTTCTAAAATCAATATTTTGTCGAAACAGTTTTTTATTTGGTATCAAATGAATAATTTCTTTTTATTTTATATTACAGTAGCTGTTTTCCCACGTCAAAATATAAACTATAGTTTAGCTAGTTTTCCTCATTCAAAAGTGTTATTACCTAATAAAAACTTATTTCATCAGTTTCATAAAAACGTCACTATTTATA